AAAGGTTTTAGTTGACAGGCCTATTTATCCGTTTTATTTGTGACATTTATGTTATATGGTGGAATATGGAAGATATTTTGGAGGGTTATAAAACTATAAAAGAAATTAGCTGAATAGTTGTATCAAGAACGGAAACATTTAAAATAGATACCACTTTAACTGTGGTAGAACCACGCAACAGTGTCCGCTGTTGCACGAATGGGCAGGTCCGACGGGTAAGTTCCACGATCTCACAGAAGACCGGCGTGAAGTAGAAGTGTTAGACTTCTGCGTTTCGTCTAGTGAGGTAGCCGGGGCCCACTTTATTTAAAGGTGGCAACGAAATTGCAGCCCTGTAGGTGTTGTTAATGTCCATGGGCGGCAGTTAGAACTTAACATCAGGTGAACCGCCAGCTCATATGCCACATTATCACATAAAAAAAAGATACCATTATTAAATGTGGAACTCGAAAATTCTACAGTAAACCTGACGTGAAAACATTTAAAGAAAAAGCCGCCATTACCTAGAGTGAATTCGTACGAATATTATACCTTGTGGACAATGTACCCATACAACTGTACGACGAATACACAACTTTAGTTCCCTGTGTCAGGAGATGACAGTTCACACTAAAACATAACAAGATTGTGACATCACTGACAATCATAGCAGGTAGAAGCAAGTAGAAGCACCCGCTTCTCGATATCGGCACGAGACGATTAGAAAACAATTAGAGGCGGCGGAAGGAACGTCACCCGTGGAAATTGGTTACGTGTACGACACGCTGGCAATACGTCGCTAAATGTTGGGCAAGCAAGTTTCCAATGTATCGGCGGAGCTGGTGTTTGGCACCGGGGGAGAGCTCTGGCGGGAATCAACTACAAAGATATAATCGAGTCAAGCAATCCCTCTTGGCTTCCCACTGGTGGCATTAATTATCCAAAAACATTCTATTGATCTGATCAATGCCAAATTTCAAAGGATCACCTGCTGGAATAATGTAGCGCAGGGAGTAGTGAACTTGCCTTTTGCGCCAGAGGTTCGGTCCCCACTCCTGGAAAAATGTTGTGTGTGAACACAGTGTTTTTCCAGTGCCTGGGTGTTTATATGTATAAATTGTTGTGTATAATATGTATTTATTTACAAAATAAAAGTATATTTAAGTATGTTTATCAGTTTTCTGTACCCATAGTACAGAACCCGTTGCTTTGTTTGGGACTAGAGAACGTTGAGAAAAATGTGTCCGCAAATATTAATTAAAAATATCTAGGTATTTATTTATTGTCTACGCAATTGCTTCCTAACTCTCAGATTAAACATTATTACCAGCGATAGAATTTTGTCCACGGGGGACGTAAAAAGTGAGAGGCTTAAATGTATAGCACCGCCCATCACTTGTACCACACGCCATTGCGCGCTCCTTCGTTGCAACGTCTGTCGGCTTTCGCAACCCAAAATGATTCATGGCCAGGCTCCAAACCGTACACCTTAGTTAAACGTTCGACTTGTCGCCAAATTGCGAACAAATGCGCAAATCATTTGCTCACAACCCTAACATCGTCCATGAATTTTATTTTCATTTAAAGTAAATATTTATACACAATAACTCTGGAGGTTTAATTTCGTTTAAACTTAAATTGTTAGTATTTCTATTCCAAATCTAATAAAAGACTAGAACACAAGTTAATTATATGTGCAGCTAAGGGGCAGCTTATATTCTTGGCACCAAAGTTTCAGAAATTGTTCATCTAGTAGACATAGGACGTCTTATCTGGTCACATCGCGTATATCTCTCATCGCGTATATCTCTGTTTACATGTTAAAAACGATGTAAAACTACAGTTCCTAGTGTTTCCGCTTAGTCACTACTGAGCCTTGCAGAATTAGCTAATCGTCAAGCGACACGCTAAACTTTCTCTTATATACTAACTAGTATAAAGCATCGTGGTCTCACCACAGTATGAAATTATCAATATTTTATTCGAACTTGCACGCTCCGGCAGTTCACAGAACAAATTTCTACTCAGTATTTAGGATGACACAGTACAACATACACACGTGTGTGTGTATTTAATATGAGTCTTTAAAGTATTACCTACCAATTTTATTTTTTATGAGAGAGGGGAGAAAAATGGATTTCTTCTGACGTATCTACAAACTTCATGTCGAGCTACGTCAAGCCTTTTTAAAAACTCCCGATATCTATTGCAAAATGAGACCACACTATCCAATTCAATACACTTAAGGGGACTTTTAACGTGCGAAGATTATAAATAAGCACATCATTTTATTATTACACAATCCTTCAGTCAAAATTCTAGAGCTCCCAAACTTTATTGAAAGAGGTTGTCGAAACTCTCCGGCGCATCGCAAAGTCGGACAGGTAGAGACGTTCGCAGCCTCATTAGGGATTTACAATTACGCAAATTGCCGGTCCAAATTAAATACCGTCAAGGTGTACCTGTGTACAATAGACGTTATTTAATTACTCTACTAAGGCGCGTCTCGTTATCCTGATCATTAAAAACTGTAATTGACTAAAAAGTCTGTGGGAGTTCAAATTCTTTAACAATTAGTAAACGTTGCTTTGCAATACCAGATAATAGCATCAATTTACTTTTCGTTAACCGGGGTTTTGTTTTCGTAATTTATTTATTTTTTATTTTTATGTGAAAATTTGCTAAACGAACAGGTGGTTCACCTGATGTTAAGTGAATACCACCGCCCATGGACATCTGCCACACCCGAGGGTTACAAATGCGTTGACATTTTTGAAAATTGGGCTCCGGCTACCTCATTCACCAGATGAAACGCGAAAGTATTATACTTCCACTTGACGCCGGTCTTCTGTGAGGTCGTGGTACTTACTCGGACGAGCTTGCCGATTCGCGTAACAGCCGAGGCTGCTGCGTGGCCCTAACACCGTTTTTCGTAAACTATTAAAGCTTCATCGAACGCCAAACTCGTGGGCTAGCCATAACCGCGTGCTTGATATCGCCTTTTGCGTTGGGTGCATTTGTTGTGTTGGTTTCCCCGTGGTCGAATACGAGGACGAACTACCTAAATAGTTACGTATGCGAGTTTTGTCTATTGTCCGTTTACCACCGTTGGAATTGTTTTCGGCGTTTTCGATGATCCGTTTGGTTGACTGTTTAAAGAGTGCGCGTAGCGTCGGGGGTCTGCAATCGCTATGCAGGTTGCCCTTCAGATACCACCTGGCACCGGTTGCGTGGTGGATGAACTTATTTAGAATTACCTGAAGTATATGCAGGTTTATTGGGATTGTATAAGGAAAGTTTCTGCCTAAAGCGCATTCCACTGGAGATTAATTCGAGGAGGTTAGTTTAATGCAACTGGCCCGAAACTGACTGTTGCTTATTACACATTGCAAGTGCTCGCCGGTAAACAGATAATCGGGTCATCGGACGACTTACAAAACTGAATTCCTATATTATGATAAGCCGTGTAGGGCTACGCTGTAGCACGTAAGTACCACGACCTCACATGAGAACGGTGTGAAATTAAAGAAAAAATAGTATCATTGTAATTCTGCTGTTTTGTCTAGCGAGTGAGGGAGCCGGCGCCCACTTAATTAAAAGGCAACGCATCTGTAACCCTACGGTTGTTGCAAATGTCCATGGGTGACGGTTATCACTTAACATCAGGTGAACCGCCAGCTCGTTTGCCAGCTTCTCACATAAAAGGTAGGGCATTCCGTCATAGACCAACATGGTTTCAGTTTTTCTCGATTTTATTATTCTATCGTTGTATCCATAGTCAAATCAAGCACGAAAATAATACTCTGAGTATACACAAAATACCTCCAATTCAATTGTAAAATACCCCGTTCACAATTGAGTCGTGTATTATCTTTGCCGATTTTCTTTCGCCTAATTATCTTAACTATCACGAAGTTTGGCCTCTAATCTCTAAATAATTACGATAGCATAAATTTTGGCACATTTAATTATTTCACTCTAGGTTTTTTTTTATTATTGGCAAATCCTTTGATACAGACCTCATGATGGTATTTATTTTTATAAGTGGTAAAGATGGTAAGATGGTACATCCCCATCATCATGGTCAGCAAACATTGTTCATGTTGTGCCGATTCCAGACCGTTTGACAATTGTCTCTGTAGCTAACGCACTTTCGACGTTGCTATTTCATGCGACCCTAACAAATCTAGGTGAAGATGAATCTATATGATGAAGATCTTACCCATGAAAGAAGGAAACCGCTATATTTACAGTGATTCAGCTATCAGGTTTATATCAGTGATAAGCAAATATTTTCATGCTGCAAATTATTTTTTCTAGAATTTATACTATATATAGTACCTACATAGAATATGAATACACAGAGTAAATTAACGGTGAAATGATTAAGCGCGACACATGCCTGAGAGTAACAATACAAACAAAGCCTAAGCATATTTTTTCTACACATTTTTTCTACATATTTTAAAGCCTAAGCACCTCGGATTTCTCACATACATTCCATTGCCAATGTTTACCAATACAAGGATTGTGACAATTGCATAATTAATTCATAATTTTGCTTGGGCGAAATAATACTGCTGAACATGGCCAATGTATTATAACAAGTTATTCAATTCAATCCTTATCAATGTTTCTTCCTAATTTTATCAATGCAAAAACAGCAAGGTGTGATTGAAAAATTTTCACACTTCTCAAAACTACACATATAAACTATACAAAATGTTATAGGAATAGTAACTTCTACCAATACTGAATAATTAAACTGGTTGTTCACAATTTATATAGGAGAAACAATATGTAACATATTAAATCATTAAGATTCCACATTAATTGAATAAACAGTTGATAACACAAGACAACCCAGAGATAGTGTAAATGGAGGTAGCGTTAGGGTTAAATCATTAATTATTTTGTAAACATTTGAATAGCATGCAAGATGTCTGTCCTAAGCTCTAGGTAATCAAAAAATTTATTTGTGTATATTTTGTGTATTGTAAGTCAGTAAAAGGCAAGCTTACCTCTTCAATATCCTTGTGAAACTTGATAGGCCTCATCAAATAGAACTGCACAGCGAAATACACAAAGTTAATCACAATAAAAGCACTGTTCCATAGCACAGCATCCAGGTAGCACTCAACACTCCAGGCCCACATGCCGGAAAACGCGCAGCCCAGAATGAGCGTGACACGCAGCCAGATCAGACCAGTGTCCGTGTGAGGGGCGAGGAACGACAATAGGAAAAAAATGTTCGCCACTTGGAAGAATATGTGGTTGATCGGGCGCCACTTGGGGCAGTGGTGCAAGTAAACGTCCCACATCGACGGCCGCGCGTGAATAGTCACGTTCACCAACTCGCCCACTGGCGGCGAGAGCTTCGTGGGCTCCAGCAGTCCCATGTCTTCTGTCGTTGACGCGACGTCACTGTCCGTCGATGGCAACTCCGTTGTGACATTCTGCAAGCCAGTGATCATGCCGATCGCTAAGGCACTGATAAACAGCATAGTACCACCGAATAACACTATCCCGATCGAGTTCGCGCATCGGTGTGGCCGCGGCGACGCTTGGCATTTGCGCGTTATTTTCTATATCTTAAACACAGCAGATCTAAAAATATTTCTCTCTAACATGAAGGTATTTACAACTTTTGCTAGGTTTATTTTGCTCTCGATAATTTATGAATTAAAGAATAATTACCGCACTACGTATAGAAGTTCTAATAAGGTAGTGCACCAGCAGAGTAAACGATTTAAATAAAAACTACAGAAACAGGCCTGAACATAAGGCAATTAAAGTCCTTCAAGTGTCGAAATAAAATTTTAAAAAACTATGAAGCAAACAACCGAACCCTGCAAAATGACAGCAGAAATGCCTACAGTCGTGTCTTGACAACTGACAATGACAACCCATTACATGACAAATACAGATGACTGTTGCATATGATCGCAAGGAAACTGTACCATAATTAATTTGTTTTTACAAAATTTATTGTTATATATGTTACTCACTTTATAACTAAATAGCAGTCACTGATTCCCGTGCGTTCAGTCGTCCCTATAACTCTGTAAGCAAAGGTTCTGTGACATTTATTGCATATGTGAATTGATCAGTTTCTCTTAAAACTTGAGCCAATCTTAGTGGAGATTTAAAACACTATTAAATACATATCTATAATGCCGTAAGGCTACGCAAATATAAGCAACAACCAACCAACCAATCAGCCGATGTTCAAACAATATTTATTTTGCAAAAAAGGGCCATAAGAGCAATTTACACTCTTATTTGAATGCATCTCTGAGACGGAAATTTAAAGAAATAAATATTTTAACCTTGTCCTCTCAATATATATATGAAAATGTAATATATGTACATAGAAACATTACTAATTTTAATAAAAATACTGATGTACATAATATAAACACTAGGAACAAACACAAGCTTGTAACGCCAGTTACTAGACTCCATAGAGTCAGTAACGCGTTCATGGGACGGTGTATACGCTTCTACAACAAAATCCCAGTTAATATGCAAAGTCTATCTATTAACAGGTTTAAGAAATTTATTAAAGAAAAACTTTTTAAAAATGGTTATTATAAGATAAATGAATACATTAACGATAATAACCCCTGGGAATGAGATGATCGCTCCTAAGCTGTTTCTAAAAAAAAATATGCACTGTATAACTGTATTTGTTGAGGAAAAAAAATGACAAAAAAGAGGATACCTACGGAGTTTCTTTCGATTGTTTCTTCTCCGTTAGAGGAACCTCATTACCAAACGGTGGTAGATTTAAAAAATTACTATCGATAAATGAAATGTATATTTCTTATTTCGATGAATAAATTATTTGAATTTGAATTTGATTTGAATACCATCTCAGGCACCACTCTCGGAGCTTATCCGATACGTCACGAACCTCAGACTATCTGTAATGAATGCGTTACGTATGCGGTCAGCCCATTTGACACCGCACAATCCAGCTTAGCATCTTCATATCCGTGACATTGGAATCGTGGTCGATGCTTCATATCTACAACCCCTCAAGAGTGATGATGAATAGCCGTTGTTTATCACTGAATATCGGGTGAACCACGAACAACTTATATTTTGTTACAAATATAAATAATTTTTAAGCAGATAATCCTTATTTTGCCGGTGATTTAAATCTATGTGAAAAATCTTAACTGTTTACCTTGCCAATGACAGTGCAGTGTCAATTCAATTGACATATTGATTCTGATTCTTGAAATAAAGGAAATTGCCAACTGCCTTAGAAGAAGAAGATGAAATAATAAGGAAAAATTCTACGAAAGACTAGGCGGTATGGTCGAAAGACTATAGCCTGCGCCATGGGCGAAAAAAAAACTGATTCTTGAAAGCTTGACTGGCAGAAGTGACACTGACAGATTGACAGTTTTTGTGGCGGTACCAATAATGGCAAAATATTTTTATTTGTGTAAATAATAAATAAAAATGAATATATTTATTAAGTTATTATATGTTTTATAAGTGTATAATATTAATTTAACAATGACTAATATATCATGTGATATGTTACTACACCCGGAACTTTTGACTAATGAACAACTTATTTCCATTATACAAGAGGTAATACAATGTTTATTTTAAATAGTACTAAAGTGGTAATAATCATCCTTTGATATCTAATTAATATTTTTTCACAGAGACATTTGAGGGTCCCGAATATGGAATCTATGCATAGAGACGAGCTTTTGGAGATTTTTCATCAATACTGTGTCCCTTACGGTCAACGAAAATATAGGGATTCTGGGAGGGGGAAAATATTAAATAAAACTCGTCATATAAGTCCTGAACCTACACGAAAATTAAACATGTTTAATGATATTCAGAATAGAAAACAATCTAATTCCTTCAATGAAAGACTAAAACCTCCACCTGACTTACTATCAGGACACATAAAAAGAATTAAGATAGAAAATAAAATAGTTATTACTAATGATAATAATAATTTTAAAAGAAAAATCGCAATTGATAGTGTGAGTAATGATTTTTTTTAATATTTGACATGTTTATTAAAACAAACTAAATTGCAATTGACACAGTATTAATTTGTAAAACAGATAGTACCACCAAAATTTGTTAAATAATTACTATATATATGACTTAATGTCAATATGGGTCTTATTTATAACTGAAGAATAGTAAAATTGAATTGAAACCCACATAAGAAATTATATGTGAGTCAAAAGTACCAATGATACTCTTATTAACATTTTTGCTCATATGTCAAAGATAATTTCTTATATGTATTAAGGAACATACTCCAATTATTAATAAATTCATTTATTTTCTTTTGTCATTAAGTTAGTCTCTGCACTTTCATTTTCTGCAAGATGAATCTTGAAATTTGTAGATAAATTGCAACTACTACCAATTTTCAATGTTTTAATTTAGGTGCAGTACATAATAGAGGCAAAATTTAGCAGACTTGACACAACTTTGAACATTGTGTTAGCCATGGTATTAGGTCATTCAATAAGTCCATAGGATGACACATAAATGCTTCCGAGGAGTACTTGGCGCTGTTATAATGCAATAAAATGGAATTCTATTGTTGATATGTGATAATGGATGAGACATTGCTTCACAATTACACACCAGAATCAAAAAGACAGTCAACTGAGTAACAAGCAGTTGACAAACCGAATCCAAAAGCCACATTTGCATAAAAAAACATGTTGTTTCACCAAGACAATGCACCGTGTCACAGATCAATGAAAACAATGCTTACCCGCCCACCATATTCTCTAGATTTAGCCCCCAGCGACTTTTGCCTGTTTTCAGATCCCAAGAGAATGCTTGCTGGTAAGAAATCTAAGGCCAATCGTAAATTAATAGCTGGAACTGAGGCCTATTTTGACGAGAAAGAGAAATCATACTATAAAAGTGGTATTCAAAAGTTGGAAATGATGATGAATGAATGAAATGGCTATACTCATTGTATCGCCCTCTTAGGCATCTCTGTTGAATAATAAAATCGAGTTTTATCAAAATTTTGTTTTGTTCTTACTTATCCTACAGGCTTATGGAATGACCAGTTACATGTAGTGTGTGGGACTTTAGTATAATTGTACACAGTTAACCTTAGAAAATTAAAATCTATGACTTACTTTACACCAAATGTGATGTAATACCTTTTAATAAAAATTTCTGTTGCAGCTCCCCATTTCAGAGATCCCGCCAATGAAAAAAGAAAGGAAACCAATAACTTGGCCTTAATTCTAAACTCTGATGAGGAAAAGAGACTGACTTATTTTATGATAGATAAGTGTCCACAGGGAATAATCATGGTTTTTAATTAATTGGATGATATTTTGTGTATAAAGTTTATATCTATTAGATCACTATTCCAAATTTGTGGATACTGTGTTAAGGTACAATGATGGCAAAAGTTTGCTAAACTTTGGCCAATGTACATATTATTCATGAGTGTGATTTTGTAGTATAGTAATGATATTATGATCTTAATTTTCTACATTGTAATTTGCAATGTACATAATTTCACAGTGACAAGGATGAGTAATGCTATCAAGTCAACAAAGCGCTTATTTGATCTTGAATGTGCTGACCTATAATTATTTCTGGATACAATAACCAACAATTGTTGTCCACCACTGGTATTTAGGCCGAACTTTAATAACTCAGTTTCCAGGTGTTCACTATAATATACTGGAGCAACCAAGTTTTAATCCTGGCCTTTACCAATAAAATACTATATATATCTATGCATACTAAATGTTAATTCCAACTTTAAGTGAAAATAGTTTAGGAAAACCTCCACAATTTAGAAATAAATAAAAAGGTTTGTGTATATAATAAAGAGGTGTTCAAACTCTAATCTACAGTTGTGTCCTGTGTTGGACTTCTCTCTTACTTTAATGGTATTTTAACCAATAAAGTAAAGTAAAATATACTTTATTGTACACCATAGAAACATTACAGTATTTATAATTTAAAAAAAACACACGGGTACAACAGACGGCCTTATCCCTTAAACAGCGATCTCTTCCAGGCCAATAATTTTTGTGTCTGTTTGAAACTTAAATACATGAAGTTATTGTGAATATTGACACTGAGCTACTAAAATTAAATTATTTACGGGTGTTAAAAAAGTTCTTTTGTGCGCTTTTTAACAGCAGCTTTAACAGAATTGCAGTCGTATTACTAGCTATTTGAACTAAAAAAAATATAATTTGCACAAATAATATGAAATAGTAAGTTTAATGATAACGCAAAATGTTTTATACTAAATTGTACAATTTATTATATATTCTATCTTTTAATGATACTGTCGTATTTTGTTACTTATGTCTAGAATGTGTTCCTACTTATTTGTAATATGCCTTTTTTAATTATGTTAACTACGTAGTTAATGGTGTGGCGTAAAATTCGATCAAAACTGCCGTTCCAAATTTGCATGAAATGTTATTTTTAAAACCTACTAGATCTATTATAATATTTTTAAACGTCCAGGAAATTGTGTAGTTGTCTATTACATGTCGTGCCTCAATGCAATTTTATTTATAATTGATTTTATATTTATTGTTTTATTTTACGGTATACATTTTTAATTAGTTTTTTTTATTAAATTGTAGATGAATCTGATGAAATCTGTAGAAGAATAATCGAAAGGTTTTAGGCCCCTGCTTGGATTTGAACATGCGTTCTCTGGGTTAGCCAATTGTTTTTGTGTTAATTTATCTATGATCTAGAGTTGGCTTTTAATTTTTTTTCTCTAATGAAACTGAAACACGAAATTTAAACGGAACTTTAGTAAAAGTAAAAATGAAAAAAAGTAAGATTTGTTAAGATTTTTTTTTTGAGGCATCAAATATTTCAGTTGGAAGATTGTTAAATTTCAGTTGGAAGCCTTATGTAAAAAAAAAATAACATTCACATCAGGTAAAAGTGTAAAATGCTTTCCCTCTAGGGCTTGGGTTTATATTTTATTTAATACATTGTAAATATTCGACTATTAATTAAGTTAATCATGATTTCTAAATGTATATTTTATATGCTTAAGTAATCAAGTCACAAAAATGAATGTTCTATGGTGTCACTATCTGATGTATGTATAGAAAATGAACTTTTAGAAATAAATGGATGATGTTGTAAAATAAAACACATTTCTTATTTTATTTTTATTGATGATGAGATGATGCTCTTCTATTTCTAAGGCAAGGTCTCAGTTATGATGACGAATTTATGATCTGTGATCATAGGTTCTAATATCGTTGCTCCATAAAAAGTTAACCCCTCTAAAGTATCTTTATTTTCTTCTGGCACTCAATACTCATTTCGCAACCTAGAGCTAGAGAGTAAAATCATCCAAAAGTGTGTGCATCTTCCCCAGTTAGAAGAAAATACCGTGATATCAAGGCTCTGTCATTACTCATATACTTATGTCATTACAATACAATATCAGCCTATTGCCGTCCACTGCTGAACGTAGGCCTGAACGTGCTGAACGTGCGCCAACTATCCCGGTCCTGGGCAGCCCGCATCCATATGTCATTATTATCTTCAAACAAAACGACTTACCTTAGCACCCAAAGAATACGTTACGCTGAAGTGTTATTTATAATGGATAAGTTTCCATGAATTTGACATGATCAATTGGTATAGGTAAGTTCAGGACAACGATTGGAAAAACCATTTCTTATAGATATATGTATAAAAGCTTTTTAAGCTACCCTTCCGGCGACTTGTCTTTTGCTGTTATGGCGATACAAATAAAATAAATAGGTAATAGAATAGCAATACCATTTAATAGAAAAAACGTAAAACAATAATCGTAACCGTCGAGGGTTTTCGTTTCGCATGATATTCAACTGATTTCTTCCGATTTGGACTTGAGCAGAACGCGGCTTCTGCTCGTGGCGGTGACGGACTCCTCTTGCCGCCAAAGCTTCATCCCGCGCATCTCGATCTCCTCGTGCCAACCCTCTTGGGTTTGCCTGGAGGTTTGCGTTAATGTATATCTTACGATTTATATACTTATATAAATCGTGATATATATATATATATATATATATATATACATATACACACATATATATATAAATGAATCCCTATTTCCCTTGGTCACGCGTGAACGGCTGGACCGATTTCGCTAATCCTTTTTTTAGAATATTTATCACAAATACCTAATTTGTTATTCTGATGTGGAAGCTATATTATTGTAAAGTTTGATTAAAATCTATTCAGTAGTATGCGTGAAAGAGAAACATTCATACATAAAAACTTTTGCGTTATATGAGTAAAGTAAAGAGTAAGGATAAGAAAATAAGGATTTTAAGGAAGTAAGGGTTTATTACGCACAAATTTCTTATTAACCTATACATTCAACATTTGAAAACGGCGGAATAATAAGCAAAGTGTATTATGTTAAGAGAGTTTTCATTAGTTTTTAGAGGTCGGTGATCTAACGCTGATGGTTTCATTAAAAAACGGGAATTGCGTACTCACCTGCAGTTGTCCAGGAGGGGGCTCGTGTTGGGCAGAATGCTGGTGAGCAGCATGAGGCAGGGCAATACCACCACGGAGAGGAACTGGATCTGCTCGGCGGGCTGGTTGGCGCTCCGGCGCCGGTCCATCATGCTCAACGGCGTGTAGCCGAGGGCGCGCTCCCGGTCGCCCTACATTCATTTCTCCGTGCTACCGAAACTTCTTTCCATCGATGTCAGTTACTAACTTGACCGCGATGCTAGTTTGCGGGTCAAAAGCCATTGCGTAGTTCTAACGATCCGATTGGCGTAGTGGATCTCCTGTCTCTTGTGCCAGAGGGTGTGGGTTTGTGTCTGAGTGCTTATACATATATCTTTAATATACATTTATTTACAACAAAAAATAAATAAGCTTTGCTTAGTTTAAGACCGGTTAACATTGCGGAAATATGTCCCGATATTTATTTTTCTAACGCAGTTCGACAACCACTGCTAGGATCACAAACATGTTAAAAAGACGTTCAAATTTTCGAATTTACTGGAATAATATGAAATGGACTGTATTTAGACTAGGGTATGGTTACCTACCTGTTCGTAAAACTCCGCGTAGATAGATTCCGTAATCTCTTTGGCGACCCCGAATGGCTTGCAGCAGCCGGACAGGTCGCAAGTGGTCATAAGGATGCCCTGTGGTCAAAAACTATGAAGTATAAGACAACCGTACACACAGAATTGCTATGAGCTTTTTCAGTTCTCATATTACAGAATTCGTTTCTTTTTTTAGAATTTTGAATTTGCGAATTAGTAACCGCAACTTTATGCCAAAGTAAAAAAAAACCGCAACATTCTATACTTTTTCGCTCGGAAAATAAAAAAAAAAAACAATACCCCTACTCTTGGATAAAATTGTTTGGTACTGTAGGAACGTTAAAACAATTGCTTAGCTATAATTATTAAGCTGCTAAGTCTTCGTCTAAAGGCTAAATTGGACCTATTTAAAATCTCATGCCAAGAGTATTAATGTTTAAAAATTTTTGGAAATTGCCAGTTTTGATTTATAACTAATTTCTGTAGTTTATGATGTATTGATATTATATTAGTAAAGGATTCCTCCTTCATGTTGGAGATTTAATGTAATTTATTCTCGCGCACGTAAGACGTTATAGGTACTTTTTTAGGGAAGAAAAGAAAAATTACTTTATCACGTGTGGCAGATCAGTACAAAGAGAACTTGTTTGTGAAAAAGACACTGAATGCCATTGAAAACGGTTCAATTAACTAATAACTTAGAATTATGTGTAAATGTCGAAAAGTTGTGATCGGTTGCTATGGTAACGCCACGAAGTCGGTGTCGCGCATCGTATTTTTCCCGCCAAAAGAACAAACTTGAAAAGTTATATTTCCCGACGATGCGATTGGCGCAATGGTTCGATTCCCACAACTGGAAAAATATCGTGTGATGAACATAGTGTTTTCCCCGCAAGAGTCGGGCGTGGGACCTTGAGCAGGCGGCGGTGCGCCGGGTCGGGCCAGCGGAAGGCGCGCTCGGCCACGAGCGGCGCCAGGCGGGCGCGCGTGCAGAAGTACGCCGCCAGGTCGGTGCTGAGGATGGCGAAGCGCACCTCGCGCACCACCTGCGCCCGCTCCGCAGGCGCCAGCCGCGACAGCAGCTGCTGCTCCTGCCGACGCCCTTCCCCTTAACGATTGCAGCGAAGCCGACGGGGCAGGCTGCTATATACGTGTTTCGTTCTTTAAACTTTCCATCGCATCGTATTTTTACGACCAACACGACCCCTAACGCCGCACTCAATAGCCTGACAATGGCGCCAACATAGAGCACTCGATCCTATCCTTATACCCCGTTACATGTCCAGCATATAGCCAGCACCTTCTTTACCATAAGGGCACACGGGGCCGTGTCGTCACGGGGGCCGCGCATGGCCTACGGCTTCTATTTTTGGTAGATATATATCAACAGAAGTTTATACAATAAAAAAGAATAGGATAATGGCGGAAAAATGTTTTGGTAATTCACTTCTTTTACTTTCCATTAGGGCCATATATTTTTGTGTGCTCTAGGGCGTCTGACGACTTCCGGTGCCGAAGCCGACGGCTTAGCGACTACGCCGCCGAGTCTTAATAACATTCACATTGCCGTATTCACGCAAATATAAAAATATATTATATTCTTATTTTAATAAAAAAATTATAGTTACAACTAGTTACATATACATAACATGGTATATTTCTTTAACGTATCATTTGTTTTGTTTTTCTTATGAAAACTCAATCTCGATAGCAACAATCCAACAACCCATCACAAAAGATCACTTATAATTATTAAGTACCCGGAGAACCGAGCTTTGCTCGGTTTGTTTTTTTTTTGGTAAATCGTGTATTTTGGAAATTACATTTAGATACAAATTACTGAGTAATGAAATATGCATAATGTTTTACACAAATGAAAGAACTTTAAAAAAAAGGGAAAAAATAACAAAATAACAAATCGACAAAAAATTAAAAATAAAGAAAGCAATGATCTGGAATCGAAAAAAAAGTAAAAAAATAAATGTGTAAATGATCGTGACGCGAACCATGGCCGTCTGTTTTGGGGCCGCCCGATTACCGACCGAGCTATTTGACATTTTCTCTTGCGGCGAAATTTACCGTCATATTCGAATTATATTTTTCATTCACTGAAAACAGGGATAAAGGGACATTTTCTAAAAATGAAACCTAGCTAGATCGATTTTTCGCCCCCGAATCTACGCACATACTAAATTTCATGAAAATCGCTGGAGCAGTTTCCGAGATTCCGATTATATATCTATATATACAAGAATTGCTCGTTTAAAGGATAAGATAAGAACATTAAGCCCATACCTCGATCATCTTCGCTGCGAGGAAGTAATGGTAGTTCTCCAGCTGTGAGGTTTTGTACATCTGGGCCAGTGGGTGCTTGCAGAGCTTGAGGAAGTTGTTGTTGAATCCCGGGTGGTCCAGGTCGTGGCAAAGGCCTGCCAGCATCAGCGCCGTGGTCTGCAAGACGGGGATCGAGGGCCATAGGATTTATTTTACCTTACTTGATACTCATTTTTCGCTATTCTCCATTGTTTCGGATTTTTTATTCGTTTGATAAGATGTCAAGCGAGCCGGCGGTTCACCTGATATTGAGTCTTATAAACCGCCGCCCATTAACATTTTCAACGCCCGTATAGTTTAATAAAAGCGGCCTCGGTTACTTCACTTACCGGATGAAACGCAAAAGTCAACACTTCCACTTCATGCCGGTCTTCTTTGCGGTCGCGGTACTTCCCCGGACGGGCCTGCCCACTCGGGCAACAGAGAAGACTGTTGGATGACCCTTCCACAGTTGAAAAATTGAGCGGACCCTCACTAGTACGACTGTCGACTGTATTATTAAACGACGGCCTTGGTGACACTTTGGAGGTGCCGAGGTTTAAACTGGCTAAAACCAAATTGTTTCTTGGTAGATTTATTAATTGTTTATAATAACATACATGACATTCATATCCATACACAACTAAGTGTAAACAATTTAAAACATTTTCTATAAGCTACTTCGAAAACGCCTGTAAAGAAATGTCTTGTAGAGTGTACTTTGGAATTTGGAAGTACCGAGGTTTAGAATAGCTAAAACCAAATATTTTTTTTATTATCTTTATTTTTATGGGGTTTTTATCTATAAAGATATGCCAACCGCATCGTAACTTATATAGGTCACAACAACTTACGGAATACGAATTCATAAATTAATGGATTTATATAAACCGAGACTTACTGTTTGTTGATTTGAACAAGGCCGCAAATATGTTTTGGAATTCGCCAATATATTGGATATAAGACCAACATGTAATAAATTAACATTAAGATCTCTAAACAGCAGTTCCCTTTTATTTCGGTTCCTTTCAATCCATCACCTTATGATGCACATCTTCGTTTATTGCACACCTCACAATAGGCTGAAACAGCTTTATATAAACAAATCGTTTCCGGGTAGTTTTATTAACTTTTTATAATAAAATAGGTGATATTCATACACATCTAAGTGTAAACAATGCCAAACATTTTATAGAAGCTACTGGTGTACTTTGAAAACGACTGTAAAGACATGTCTTGTAGTGTTTGCCTTAAGGGCAGCGCAGCTCTATTTGTAACGGATTCAATGTGGCTACGAAACGAGTATATCGCACTTGCGAAACCTCGAGGAAGTGACCTCACCTCGACGAAGCCGAAGCGCTCCTTGTTGGCGGCGAGGATGACGTACATGGTGTGCGTGAAGCAGAAGGCGTGGCGCGCGTTGTGGTAGGCGTTGGGGCGGTAGCAGCGCAGCGCGGCCAGCACGAACTCGGCCAGCCGCGGCCGCGAGAGGCCGCGCGACGCCGCGAACGTCTCCCACAACATGAGGCACGTGAGCGGCGCCAGCTCCGCGCGCGGCCCCGGCTGCCACTCGAACCTGCGCCCCTCCAGCTCTCATTCCACCTAGACCTTTCTCTTTGCTCTGTATTAGCAGCGGCCTCCGACTCACGTTCGGAAGTTGGCGGGCGCCGCCGCCGGCCAGCTCGCCTCCAACTCGTCCAAGTCGTGCTGGCACGGCTTCAGGTGCAGACCCATCAGCTCCGAGTACACCTTGTTCAGATTCTCCTGTGGCAGCGTCGAACGTATACGGGTGAAGGGGTCGTTTGTTTTCAAATCTTACCGATGGTGTGCTGTGATTTAATCATAATTTTCTTGGCTTCGACTATAACCGGCTGTTTTTCTTAAATAAAATTAACTGATTTGTCATGTATAGTTACATGTGTAAATATTCATCCGTACCATTATATCGCAATTGCGTTTATAGTATGGCAGCGTCAACTCGCGAAGACATTGCCGCGAGCGACCGGCGACGCCTTGACGTGATTATCAAATATGTTCGACAGTTTGTATGCACTACATAGAGAAGGGAACAGATAATTTTTTTAAACAATTTTTAATGGGCTCTTTAGAACACTAACAAGAATTTTCGTTACAATCATCAAACACGTACGTGATAGAGCTTCTTCTGCTGCATGTGGTAGAAGTGTACGATGAGTGAGCAATAGTTGACGAACACCTCGAAAATTGCCTCATCATCAGTGTCGAAGGAGCGTCCTGTTGTTTTGTTCACCAGCTGCACCACGCCTAAGGTATATTGGGATTTGGACTTTGTCTATTCTTACTAAACTAGTTTTCTTTTATGTTTTAAGTTATCCTTAATAGATAAAAATCATTATTGCATCTAGTAATCCGACAGAGATCATTTCCACACATTTTCTAATGCCCATGGGCCAGGCATTGCCTTGTGTGGGAAATTGCCTTCACAACGAAATTAAATAGTAATACGGGATATCAAATGACGCTATTTTACAGATTTTAATTTTTAATTCCAGCCGTCCATCGTAAATGGTCAGAGGACATATACAATATTTGTTATAATATTCACGTAAAAACGAAAAATTAATATTCGTCACTGGAAAGGTAAAATTACATACATTTATTTGGCGCATATTTAGGTTTCTTCAGAATCAAGTTAATATTATTTATTACGGATTGTTCATATCTATGCTAGACTAGTAATCATCTCCCGATCAGAAGAAAACGAAGCGTATTCAACGAATTGGTGAAATAATTTACCAATACAAATATTCAAAAAAATTGCTTTAAGCGAAACTTATCGTGACAAAACGAAAATATATGTGCATATGTACTTTATACATTTTGTATCAAACATACCAATGACCCCATTCTTGTCAACGATAGGGGAGGTTAGGGAGGACCTCACGACCATCCCGGTGGTGGGGTCAACTTCCTTCGTGAATCGAGGGTCTCTGTAGACGTCTTGCAGATTTAACGTCATCCCAGTCCTGGCCACCAGGCCCGCCGGTGTTTGCTCTAGGGATAGACTGAAATTCCGAAAAATTTAAATAATTAAGAATTATTATTTATCATTAGTGGCATAAAATATAGCCGTCTTAATTTAACACTTGATTTGTGAACATCAAGCCTATATAAAAATAAGTACTTTAACCGACAACATCGATTAAAATATTATTACCCAGTTAAACTAGAACCAGCGTAAACTTGTTATTGCTATAATCCCTCGTTCCCCTTAGTAATGTGAGAAGGTGGTAAGCGAGCTGGCGGAAACCGCCGGGACATCTGCCACATCCGTAGGATTGCAGATCCGTTTCCACCGATGTTGTAAATATCCATAGGCGACGGTAATCGCTTACCACCTAGTATAAATAGGTGACCGCATGCTCGTTTGCTTCCTTTTCCCACAAAAAAAATCCTTTTAATATTGTGGGCCCCGCTTACTCCATTCACCAGAAGAAACGCAAAAGTATTGCACATCCACTTCACGTCGGTCTTCTGTCAAGTACTTACCCGGACTGACCTGCTCCTAGAATGGGCGGACAACAGCGAGGACCGCAGCGTTACTAAGAGTTACTAGAGTCGATGGCACTAACTTGACCTTGGTCTTCTTCCGTGGCAACGTGCTCTTCTCTGTGGCCCAGCCGTCGTCCCACATGTCAGCTATCAATTGCTCGTCCATGTTGTCGCGGTCGATGATGAAGAAGCTACTGCGCAACGTGCCGATGAACGACTTGATAATAGCCTAGTAGCAGCCATTGAATTAGAGCTTGAACATACGGCGACGACTATCTATCGCGGTGATGTTGTCGTCGACGCTAACACGATATTAACAATAGAATAAATCACAATCTCTTATGTCTTTTCACTGTTATTGAGCGGAGAAAGATCATTAAGTCTAGATTATTATTGACATTGGAAAATGGTACTGGAATTGCCATTTTGTGATGAAAAGATTCTCGTTTAAAAATCCTTTCAATGCATTGGATAAGAAATAAATTTCACGTATGTATTACGAAGATGTTTAAAATTTTCGTTTGCTCTGCAGTTGCACTTGTATCATACAAGCAGCCAGTCAGCAGCTAATTTCAATACCTTGGGTATGATTCAGTCACTAAACGAATTTAAAAAAGGTCAATGTTGACTTCAGAGAAGCTGAAGACTTTTTGAAGGTAGTGAGGCAGCGATCGTACCAGCATATCGGTTAACATGGTATCGATGGAGGCCTGATCGCAGAAGTACTGCTGCAGCAGCGCGCGCAGCTCCATGTTGAGGTGGGTGCTCCTCTGCAGGGTGACGCGCGCGTGCGCCTGGTGCACCGCCGCCCCCGCCCAGCAGCACACGCTCACCGCGGTGTACACCACGTTCTGGATGTCGATACGACCTGACGCAAGTCCTACTCCGGCAGTACCGCAAGAGTAGCAATTGCTACGGGCACCGCATTCAAATCCACTCTTCTCCGCCTGGTCGTAAGTTCTTGAGTGAAACTTATTAAGTATGTAAGTAAGTAAGCCTTGATTTGTTTTTTTTACCACTTTATACTTAAGAAATAATAAATAAATAAAAGATTCTTACAATGGTAGAAGAAAGAAGAAATGTTTATTCATCGCATTACATTACAGGAAAAAAAAAATAAGGAACAAGAATAGGACTTAAATCGTAAAAATTTATGCAACAAGAAAGTCTCCGCTCAGTATATAGCGCGGCAGAAAGTACCACGGCATGACAGCACTGGTTTTCTGCGGAGTTCAAGAGTTCGGGGTGCCGTTATTAACTAAGTAAAAGCTTTATCGGAATGGGCCTATAATAATGTGAAGAATACATTGAGTACGAGGAAGAGGATGAGCATGTGTCATGTGTGGACTCTTTCTTTACACTCTTGTCCCATTGCTGCTGCTAATTTTATACTTAAACAATTTTGTATAGTCATATCATTGAAAAAAAAAACGATATAACATGACAGATCTGTTCAGGTCTAGTTTAGTGAGCCGGTGGTAGTTTTTTGTTGTTCAATAAGAGCCTAAAATAAGCCCATTTAGAATAAGGAAATATCGACTTTGAGTTTAAAAACATTATCATTTTGCATCAATCACCGACACTGATGTGGTTGAACAGAGGTGAGAATACAACTGACATTGTCATACGGTTCGGCGACAGTCCTGTACAGCTCCAATACGGCGTGGCATTCACCGTCGGGTTTCACAACGGGCATGCAGAGGGCCACCTTGGCGTCCACCCACTTGAGCCCTTCGGAGAACCGACGGTCCTTCTGAACGTCATCCAATAGCAGATACTCCTTCGTGGAGGCCACATGAGCAGCCGCTACTTTGCCTTCTTCTGTTTTTATATAAGTCAAAAAAATTAAATAACTTTATACACATCATTATGTAATAATATAGGTAACACTAATTTTCTACTATCTTTTACCTGACCACTATTCTTAAAGTTAACAACACTAGCGTAAATAATTAAATATGGGCCATCCATCTAATAAGAAAAAATATTAGGAATTAAAGTTAGGATTGTTTTGTTTGCTGGAGCAGTGACCAGTGTTGTATATATTATCATTTGAAAAAAAACTTATTAAAACTTATATTTAAAAATACCGAACCGCGATGGCCCAGTGTCCGGAAGTCCGGACGCTCGCTATTAATGCTATATACCAGCATTTCCCAAACCATCGGTGGATCGCGAGCGAAAATTGAGTGGGTGGTATATAAAAATATATGGAGTGGTATATAAAGCGTCCTATTTTCACAGTTCTTCATACATATTCTTCTTTAATTTAAAAGTTAGGCTCTTGTCGGTGCAGCATCCCAGTAGTTATCATAGGTTGCTGCTGTTTTGATAATACCATACACATTGGTAACGTTTAAATTATTTTTTTTCGTTCCAGTTAAAACAAATAAGACAGTATTAAGTGGTTCCACGACTCGCCACTAGGGACTCTGAGAATTGCTAGTATTTATGGGCATAAATCTTTTCTCTAAGACGGGACTATCGGTCGGAGCCCAATTAACTTTGGGAACCACTCCAATATACTCGCGCTATCAGAATTCAAATCCCGGTGTCGGCACCAATGTAATTGTGAATCCCAATTTTAGGTGCTGAATTATCACGTGCTCACATGTGAAGGAAAACATCGTGAGGAAACCTGCATATTCTAAAAATATAAATCATGACAAAAAAATATGTCGAACATAATATGTGGTCTACTAATCCCCAATTGGGTTCGCGTATTATCACATAGTCCACTATGCCCTAATATTCTGTACAGAGGAGGCCTTGGCTTAGCAATGCGACATATATAGGCTTATTAGGTACTTTACTTTTTAATGGTAAACAAACCAATTGGTATGTTCACTTCATGCCGTTCTGGATTAGTTGTGTTGCGTGTCATCAGCACTATCTCGTTCTTTAACTTGTCAACTGTGTAAACGAAAACGCCTGCGAAATTTAGACTGATTAATTTCTTGAATCTTTATTAAAAGAAATTATGCGAATCTACTGTTCCCTTAATTATTAATCGACTCTACGAAAAATAATAAATCCACATATTTACCAAATTATGAAATACGTATATAAATTATACTGTTATTACTAATATTTCTTGTATTTACGCGAATTTGGATGTTTTAAAAGTTATAAAATAAAAAGACTCAGGTACGAACAAATGTTGATAATTGATTTTAACATCGCCTGAAGTCCTTTGTAAATTTTGACCATTGAAATACAATATGTACCTACATGGAGGAAATGTTAGATACCTATCAATTCCTTGCCCAGTTGTATGTAACATTTGAAGAGACACCAAAATGATACTGAGATGTGGCAACGAAAAAATAGGCCTTGAATGATCTTGTGTTCATCACTCGGGACTACGTAATTTATGATCTAAAAGCAACAGTAAAGTTACTTTATACCTGAACTATTAGTGATCGTTTTAAGAACCATCGCGGTTTCATATAGTAGAGAATCAAGGTCGACCGTATCCTCTAGGAACACGTTAAACCTGCTGATGTCCAAATAGCTTCCCTCTTTGCCTTCGTCCTCTTTCAATCCTTTCCTTTCAATTTGGGCGTAGGGAGCTATCACACGCCGCGTCACCTTCTCCAATTTGTCGGAAGGCACGAGGAAATGTGACTGCACTCTGTACATGGTGGACATTCTTTTGTAATCGACATCGTCATTTTGGTTGATTGTATCCAACCGGCTTTTGACCGATCTCACATTTCTTGGCATTGGATTCGTCATCTTTATCAGTTATTTCGTCTTTATGGTTACAGTATAACAGTTTTTAACAAAACGAATACCGCCGTCAAATAATGACAGACGATGTCGTTAATTTTAAATTGGCCTACTCGAACGGATTTAAGAATTTTGGCCAAAAGAAAATTTAATCCTTTTGAATTTGTTTTTCTTTTAATAAATGAAAACATAATTTAAGGCACAACAGCTGTTTTTAGTATATTCAGTCTTACAATTTATCACGGAAACCGCTGAATTTATTTTGTGGACCTCACGGCTAATATTTAATATTTTTTATCTATGTTGCCTAGTTACTAGCAAATTTAAGCGGGAAGCCGCAAAATTGAAACATAGACAGAACTTGCCGGTTGTTCCCTCGAGGGCCGCAACATCTTCATTTATTTTTACTTGTATCGGTTCATACCTTTAATTTCATACTTGAAAAGTATAATATACTTTTCAATTATATTATAATAAAAGGGTAATACTGTTTTCTATAGATTCAAGAGATTTAATATGTAGGTAGTTATAAACTTTTTTAAATAATTCAACGCCTTGCCAAAATCTACATTTGCGTCGAGCTCACCATGACTATCAACGTAATAAATGCGTCCAAGCCACATTATAGAGGAATTCTTTTTAATGTATTTTTATTTATTCCATTGCATTTTTCACTTTTTATTCATGGATCATTATAACATTTAACTATTAGAAGATAAAACCAAATTCATAATACCGTAATAAAACAATGAAAGATGTGATAGCAAATTTTATTTATTATCCTATTATGATCGACATAATATAATAACATACAAATAGATAGTCTGTACCAAACAAATAACATTTAAGAAATCTTTTATTGATGTGACCAATACAGACGCAAATGTACAATGAATCTGTACACTAGTGATTTTGCTGCTTATAAACCGATTATAATTTTAAATCTCTTACCTCATCGGCTGTATCGTTATCGTCAGAAACTTATTGAATTTTAATCTTCACGAAATTATTATTACGATTACACTCCAAATTATGCTTTAACTAAAACTAACTACACCTAATTATTTAGAATAATTCCAACTGCGCTTGGCGACACATTGAATAGAAAACAATTCAAATCTTTGTGAAGCTTTGAACTAGATCATTTGAGTGATCATCATAATAAATATATCTTAATATAATATCGAAATTATACTTGAATGAGATTTATATATGCAGAATATATAGATAGCGTTACAATTAGAATTACTTATAGGTACCCATAATATAATGGCGATAAAACAAAACTACAGAGTTCTCAAACTTCTTGATGGCGCGAGATAAACACATTTTAAATAAAAATAACTCAACAACTCCAAAAATATTGCTTGATTTTAAACAATAACTAGTTTATATTAATAAAATTTTGTTCTAAAACACATTTTATTACACACCATAACTATACCTTTTTTATGAAGTGCAATTTATTTTTTTATCTATGGAATGCTGTGCTGCGTATTTTTCTATTTCATTTTGTATTCAGGAGTTATTGCGATAGGTGATTTCATTGACGATGTTCTGATGATCTATTATAATATGTAATTTTAATTAAGGACGGTCACTTTAAAACAATTCTATACGGGTCCATGGTAGATTTTCGTGTCTACATTACAGGAAAATATATTGTGGCTGTAGTTAATATTTTTCAATAGTTTAAGAGTTGATAATGCTTTGAAAATAACCTTCTTATCGGGTAATATTACTATTGTTTTCACCTCTAGTTTACTGGGGCAGTCTTGCTCAATTAAATTATTTGAATTACAATGATGCAGTCTCTCGTTATCCGATGTTTCAATTCTACACAATCACATATATTTTTAAACATGACTTTTATATCATAAAGATAGTAAACCACTAAATGTAGACACAAAAACAATACTGTATTCGACCTGAAACCACAGTCAAGCCAGCTGAGGTTTTAACACATAACATTAGTACATTAAGTAGTAATATTAACCTATAGATGGTTGCGTTGAGTCGGTGAACTTTATGTAATTGAAAAGAAAGAAATATGTTAAATTAACTTGTCTATGTTTACTATTACTCTATGATCTTGAATGTAGTCTCAGCGTCGGCTGGAGTTGAGGTCCAACCTAAGCTTCGTACTATACTTCATTCCGATGGTGACAAGTGAAACGGATGGGGAATTGCGGTAAAGTCCATCTGGGTAGTGAGCCTTAGGTAGCGCCGGGGCGGTTATGTGTTCCGTATCTTGCCGGGCACGTAGTTCTTGTCTATGGTCGGCTCCTGTAGGAACATATGAAGGCACCTCTCGTTCTGCGCCAAAGGGTGACCCGCTATTTTGTTGATGAACACCTCCAGACCTATAATTGTAATATTACTTTCTATAAAAATATTTTTGCTAGTTGACCCATGAGATGGCTATATTTCTAAATATGTCATATAGGGGCAAATAGGGTCCTTATATTATTATACTATTATGGTATTTCACTATAGAGACAAAATTGGGAGTTGACATTTCAACTTTAATATTTTTAGGTATCATTATTATAAAACTAAAAGAAAAATATCGATTAAAGTTATTAGTAATCACATTAATATGAGCTGTTTCTAAATTACAAGCGGGTTTTTAATATCTTGTTAAACTTCATTGCACGTCGTCGACATTGAAGAGGTACCTACGTCATTAGACTTCACGCTTGATTGAGCATGATCTCTCGTTTTGACCGTAAGCAATTTGCGGTTTTGCATATGTTATGCTACCTTGACCCTTTATAGTACTTATATTGCTTATTCAACAAGCTAAATAAAAGTAGGATAAGATATTTTGTGTTCAACCAGTTTCCAAAATATAACCGGTTTGGAGGTAGCCTGTAGGTATATTTGTATTTCAAATATGTATTTTTTAAACTAAAACTGTAGCGGCCCTACCACAGTGAAAATTATATTTGTTTCTTGTGTCTATGTGCATCACAATTATTACAAATTTTCTGCAAATCACAATAACATGTTCAAACTATTAAGCACACTTTTATAAAATATACTTAACCAATTACTGATTTTCTACTTAACAGTTTTAGGAAGTAAATTATATAATTAATTAAATTAAAAAACATAATCTGAACTATTATCATACATTGTGAATATAACAAATGGAAAAAGATTAACACACAGTGATTTATATTTTCAAAATTTTAAACAAATATTTACACATATTTTAATATCCAACAAAACTTTTGTACCATAAGTTTTATAAATATTTTAGTAAATGTAATCATGTATATGGAATGTTCACCAACATACTATAATTTTTTCTTAAGTTATAAAAATTTCATATAGGTAATAAGTTTCCATGCATGACTAACTTATGCCAAACATAGGGCTCAACACTGACTTTCCCATAGTAGGTACCTGTGGTACTCTAGTAGTATCTCTAGCAGCTCTAAGTAACACAAGAAATATTTCAATACCTTTTCTGCGGTCCTCAATGAATTCTTCTTCAAAAATTCCATCATCACCACGGAATGGTAGCTGCCTCTTCAATGCCTTTCCAGGCAGTGGAGGGACAACAATCTGTAATAAAATATTATGGAATCTGTCAAGTAACACAAAATTTACTGTATATTTAATTGTCAAAGATGGGCGCACTTCTCAAAGATGTGGGTTCGATTCCTGCAGTAGTAAAAATCTTTTCATATTCTCTTTCTACTTTAATATCATACTTTTGATAAAATATCAAAATCTTATAAGTACATTTATTTATTTCTTTCAATACATAATGTCATCATTTAATTATGTAGGATACACATCTTAAGACACTATTTATACAAGATTTTTAAACAAAACATCTTGTGTAACTTATCCTATTAGTTAAGCAAACTAATACAATTACTCCTGCACAACATAATTATGCATATATAAATTCTAGAATAAACGAGAAAATGATATGAACATACAAGCTATATAAATATGAGCTATATTTATAGATAATGAATGCAGCATAAACAAATTTTTATTGACTTAGTCACCTTTAAAATAGAGCAAATGAGAATGAAATATTTTTCATGTTCAAACGATTAGTCATACTTGCTTTATTTTTGCTTCGATACATTGATAACATACAAGCTAGTATCATTATCAGGACTTTCGGCCACTCACCTTGCTGTCTCTTTCTAACTCGTTCCTAAGCCATTCAAAGTCACTGTACCGCCGTCTTACACTTGACTCCTTCACTTTGAAAACGGGCAGATTGGTCTGCGAACAGGAAATAGATCCTACTAGACTAATTATTGAATCACACATTGCGCGACTCTATTGCGGTTGCAGAGACGCCCACTCCAGTCTGAATTGTATCGGTATCAAGCGAATTGTAAATTCAATTATACTATTGTCGTCAATACTTCCTCCCGATACTTACCCTCATGCGAACCTCATAATCGGTGTAGCGTTTTTTTCCTGCACCCATCGTTGTTATTGGGTTTACCACGTCAATTTCTAAGAAATTCGCCGGTGCCGCATACGCATCGTCTAGCGTCTGTTTTTTAACATTTAATCTCCTTGTTGCATCGGCTGTTGCATCTTCAGCCATCATTCCGTTTTAATTAAATAAACAATCACAAACTTAAACAGCCTGCCCACTATCTAAGAGAAATTAAATTGACAGACGGAACATGAATGAAACAATATTTGACGTTTAGAATTAATTCCTACTAGTGTTGCAATAGATAGAGTTATGAACTTCTTCCAGAAAATCTTAAATATTTATTAATTATAACATAAATATAACATAGATATATAGTTAATCTTAAATATTATATTAAAAAGCCTTTAAAATTGGGGGATTTAATAAGGGGCCCTTCGGATGAGGTTCCAACCTCGGCTTGTACATCAATAGATAGAGAAACTTATTTAGAGGAAGTCAATCTCATCTTCTTCCTGGTCCCTCTAGGACCCTCTAGGTCTAGGATCGTGACTACGAACAATATATCACCAACCAGTGCGATCATACGACTTATGGACAGCGCTGCATACATCGCCCATAGCCAGGGCTAGATTTAGAGGTCTGGAGGCCTCAGGGCAACAAAGGAGTGGAGGCTCCTTGCCCCCCAATTATTTTCTGTTAATATTTAATTTAATCATGTTTGTACAAAGTACTAAAGGAAGAAGGTAAAAGTAAAACTAGAAAAAAAATATGCAAGGTAAAGTTGTTTACTAGTCTGAATTTGAAATATTTCGATGTCTCTATTGTGGAGGCCCTCGTTCGTGGAAGCGCCTGGGCTGTTGCCCCGGTTACCCCCCCTAAGCCCGGCCCTGCCCATAGCATCAGACCAACTTGCAGGCGCCCTGCCCCGAGCACGTTTGCCTTCTATTTGGCCCAAGATAATGAGCCTCTCCAGATTACGAAAATAAAATCTTTCATGCAAAAAAGATTTACCAAAATAATCAATTCACGATATCGTATGCGGTTCAAATCGTAGGTCTTGTCATCTAGATCATTTAAAACACTAATTTGTCGGCGTTCTCTATCATGCATGGTCCAAGGAGGCCAATGGCAGTGACAATGACATACTCAGTGCGTTTAGCCTTCCGATTGGAGGGTGCCCGAGATGGCCGGACCTCTGCTCGGTAGCTGTAGTCTTACTAGGTGAATTTCTAAAAGTAGCGTTACTAACACTCGGAAAGCGTTGGCGCTGGAAGAAGTAGCAGAAAAAAACCTGCCAGTTACGTGGCGGATCTTTGTGGGACGGGACACTTTGGGGGTTGTCGGTGACGATTTTAGAGCATTTGCTCGAAGAGGTGGACGACGCTTGATGTAAAAAATATGTTCTGAAAAAATTACTTGGTGCAATATTAATGTATTTATGCAAAAAACAAATTTTCATGGTTTATGCACCGCACTCAAAGAACAGTTTACATGATTATCAAAACTTATCACTGTTTCATAAAAAGGAATAATACTAAAATTATGAACAGTGCATAACAGATATAACACCGTTGCGAACTTATCAAGGTATTGGCTTCGGCATCAGAGATCGTGGGTTCGATTCCCAAACTGGACATTTGCGTGACCCACAGATAGTTGTTTCGCATCTAGGTGTTTTTCCACGTGAAATTTATGTTTGTAAAAATGTCCTTACAACACAGGATAATATTATCCTAAAGAAGTGCAATATTTAAAAAAAATAGATTCATAGTTCATTTCTATTATTTTCATAAAATATCGCAATTGCATAAATAATCCCATGTGATTGTGTAAATGAAAAAGAAACTTTAAAGTTTAGTTATTGTTGTGTGTAATTAAACTCACATTTTATGATAATATTTATGATTTTGATTTGGTTATCATGTTTACACCAACTATATGGAACAGATACATTGTAGTCAAATTCTCTTTTATTTCTTATTTTACATAAATTGACTCATCGGGTCTTCTTCTCTTCTTCTCTTCATCATGTAGGCTTCCATCTCCTCTTCAGTTGGCGCTTTCACTTCATACATACTATTGTATGGCCGCTTCCTTTCATCCACTGACAGAAGATGCTCAGCTCGCTTTTGTTGTCTGACTTCTTCCTCTAGGGCCTTTATGTAAAAATATAAAAAATATTATTATACAGTAGACACCATTTACGAATATCAAATGAATTTTTGACACTAAGTTCATGTCATTTCGTAGTAAAATATAAGAATTGCCTAATTTTACTCACCCTAGACAAGAAACATCAATAAAAAAATAACACTTATAGTACCTTCTTCAACTTGTCTTCAGCATTTTTTTCTTTCTTTTGCGCCTTTTTCTTTTTCTTTTTGGCTTTTTTCTTATTTTTCTTTTTCTTGCTTGTCTTCTCTGTTTTAGTCCTTGTATCAGTTTCAGAATCTGATGAACTGCTACTGCTAGAGCTTGATTCTGATGATGACGATTTCTCTGTTTTTGCTGGTTCTAACAATAGAAAACAGTTGACATTAGAAACACCGTTTTTCTTTTTTAATATTATTTATTATTTTGACAGCTAAAATAATGTGTTTAATTTTTGTATTAAAGTATTTATCAAATTATGAGAACAGGCTTAGACATAATTTGATGATCCCGTGGCGCAGTTGCCAAGGTATTTTCTTCGGCGTAGGGGGTCGTGGGTTCGATTCCCACACGGGACAACTATTTGTGTGATCCACAGACAGTTGTTTCGCATCTGAGTGTATGTTCGCGTGAAATTAATGTTTATAAAACATCCTTACAACTTACAAGGATAATGTTATCCTAAAGTAAGGGCAAAGTTTAAAAAAAAAGAAAGAAAGAAAAAAATTACGAATAATGCTTTACAAATAAAAAAGGAAATTTACCTTTTTCCTTTTTTTCTTTTATTTCCTTCTTTTCTTCTGGCACATCAATCACAACTGACTTGCCTGCTTCACCCACGCAATACGACATCTAAAAACAAATCATTTTAAAATAAAAGTAGCAATGTTTTCAAAATAAAGCCCTTTAAAATAAGTAAAAAAAAATATTAATTACATCTGATTAAAACATCAAAAAAAAATGGTTTAATGATATTAAAATTATGCATACCTTTATAAATGAATGGCAACATTTGTAGCCCCACTGTCCATCTCGCCAATATGACCCCCAAACTGTTGTATGGTTGTTAATCAGCACATCCTCTTCATACTTGCTCCTGCAAATTACACAAGTTTAATATCTCTGAAGTGCCACTTATTTAATCTCATAAATAAACACTTTCTCGAAAGTCATAAGCTACATATTAAAAGATAAGAAAATAAGTAGTTCATTAATCAATAGTACAGGCTATCTAGCTAGGAGGCCTAAACTTGCTTCAAAAAAGAATCCTATGAGAATACACAGTACTCACTTAGCGAGTTGTTTCTCGGGTCCCTGGACTAGTGTACCATCCCGATTGTACCGCGTGAAAACTTCGCTTTGTGCCAACAGAAGCTCTTTCGGCGGCACTTTCAGATGCTCCGCCCCGCCATATTTCTCTAACACAGACTCCTTCACCTGTTTTGGAACACAACCATATTATACAGCGTGTCGTTACCATCGCGACAATAAATGAACACACGTCTAACGGTACTTGCCAATAATCATAAAAAAATATTAACGTTCAAAAAATCCATAATTAAAAAAAATATTTTTCAAACAAACTAATTAAGTAAAAAAGAAACAAAATTTGTAACATCCTATACAACTACAACCGACTGATTCATACATTCCGCGACGTTTTCATTTTTTGCTACAGCGTCGCATTACAAGCTTTTCCTTCTAACCAGTATGATTTGTCTCTTTTAAATTCATTCAACTCATTCATATGCTTTGTGACCTTTACAAATGAACCTTACGTTACAGTTTTATACGTAAGGGTGTTCTAAAATTCTTTGTTTTGGAAAATTTAACAATTCTGTAAATATTCATGTTTAAAGACAGTAAATGTTTAATACAATTTTAAAAAGTTATCCTCTATATGGGCGTTCATTTATAAAGACAGTTCATTTTGTCCAGGCCTCGTGCGAGAATAGAAGGAGACCTGCGTCTTGAGCTGGCTCTTGCGCTCGTCGTACTGGCGCTGCAGCAGCTGCAGCTTGGTGGGCTCGGCCAGCAGGTGCACGTCGAGGCCGCGCGCGTGCGCCTCCCACGCGAACAGCTGCGCCGCGCCGTGCGACCGCGTGTCGCCGCTGAACCGCACGAAGTTCTCGCCCAAGTACTCCGACCTGCCGGCCACATGCGATGCACGGGTATGGACGACTTTGCACTCCGCCATCTCCTTGTCACATTTTTCATTACTCACTCGGTAGCACCAGGGTTTGGATTATCCCTCATGGAACGGGTCTTTGGGTCGTAGTAAGCAGAATTCGGATCCAAATTCCTGAGGTACTTGGCTGTGTCTTCTCTGATACGTAAATTTCGCACGGTAATACGTTGTTTCGAGTCCACCTGTGGATATAATTAGTCCTTTGATAAATCAGTCTAATTCCTTGTCTTACAAAAAGAAGATTAAATCTCACATCTCCAGGGGATTATTAATGAGAAAGACATTATTATTACATTCTTTTTTTGAACTTCACCAAGTGCCTAGATATGTAAAAAAGAGGTAACTTAAAATTGTAAACAATTAAGGAAGAGTAACACTTTAATAAGTGTAGTTTTTTTTTATTTATATACAAGGACACAATTACGAATTAATATTTACCTTTGTACCAGGCATGTCCACTTCATCTACATACTTGTCTTCATCTTCCTCTTCTTTTTCATCGCCTTTGGTTGCCGTTGGATCTATGAACAATAGATTAATTATTGCATTTTAAACAATCATAACAAATATCAGGTTGTTAAATGAATTCAACTTTATGAAATGATTGTATTAGCTTTGAAATTGTAGTTTCATTCTGTTGATAAATATTAGTGTAATAAAACACATGAAAATTGAACACCATATGGTATGAATATTACTACAAGTATGAAGCATAAATATAATAAATATACATGTTATATAAAAATTTTACAAAAGATCCACAATTAAAGTGGCCCAAAATATACAATTACACACCTTGTTCCAGTTTTTTGGCTCTCAGCTCTCTCTTTGCCTCCTCAACTTTTTGATACTCTTCTATAATAGCTTTATGTTGTTCAGGATCATAACCATTCCATCGGTCTCGTTTTCCATCATAACTTAAATTTAGATCCGGTTGGTCCATCTCATCTGGTGCTATAGCAGCATTTGTGAATTTTGCACCAATCTATAAGTAATAAAAACATACTAATAACATTTAGTCCAATATTACATTACATTTGATAATCAAACATTTGATACATTTAATAATGTGGAAATAAAAAGGAACATTACCTTTCTGGGTCTTTCCAAACAATCTTTCTTTTTGTGGGTTAATGCTCCACAATTTTCACATGCACCCTTTCTGTATTTTGTTGCTATTTTTGTCTGTAAATTCAAAACAAATTTGTATGAATCACACTCAATTACATAAAGATAACATTCAAAAATATAAGGTATTTATAACCATTTTAATAAGAAAAATATATGGTAACATATTATTCTAATATTGTACATTTGAATAATTTGATTTAAAAATGTTAATTTCATTAAGGCACAATTTTTTTAATATGTATCATGTACCCATTAGTATTATATTGGCAATCACAATATGTATTAGCAATGACTACATAAAGTAATAAAATTAAAAAAAAAATAAAATTATTCCAAGTCAACAAAAATGTCATACTTACAGTATCAACACCCTTATTATAGTATGTGTCAAGTCTTGTAAATTGTCCCTCTCTGTCAGCTTGTGGACGCTGATGCTTGAGAGTAGGGCCAGATGTACCATAGTACCATGGTGCAGAAGAGATGTATTGAGGAATATGTGGATTAATATCCTTTCCTAAAAAAATTTGTTCACATATCTTTGACTAGTTCAAATAAAGAAAATAGAGAAAACAAAATAAAAATATTTGTAAAACATAGGAATATAAAACAAACCAGTTTCATCAACTGCTGCTGGTGCAGTACCAGCTTTACGAGCCTCTTCTAGCTCTTTAGCTTTCCTCCAATCTTCCCTAGACTTTTTCTTGGGTTCTTCTTCTTCGTCACCAGTGTCATCTTTGTTTCGCAATATTTGCGATACCGACGCACGAACGCTTGTCGCCATTTTAATCTATATTGAATGCTAAAACTAACGTAGATAGATATGCTAATTACTATGCATGTTATACTTGATAGTATAAATAATCTGAAATGTTAGTGCAAAATTACAATTGCATCAATCGGTTTTTTAAAGCGTCTATGACAAATTGACAAATGACATTATGACAATTTAAATTGACATTGACGATAGGGATGATAACAAATCGACAATATTAGATGTTAAATAGAACGGATTTTCCCTTCAATCGATTAGTTTTTTTAAAACATGATATAATATATTGGTGTCTTACTTTTTAGCCATTATAGCTCAGTGTCCGGGCGCTCGCGCAATACTCATAATATACTCGAGCAACCTGAGTTCGATCTCCGGTGCTGACACCAATGAAGTGTTTAACTTTAAGTGCTGACTTATCACGTCCTCCGCGGTGAAGGAAACATCGTGAGGAAACCTGCATATTTTCCAGATAATAACAAAAAAATTTATATTTCGAAAATATGTGAAGTCCGCCAATCAGCAGTGGGGCCGCGTGGTGCACTATGCCCTGATACCCTCTGTATAGAGGAGGCTTTTGCCCAGCAGTGGGACATGTATAGGCTGTTACTTTACTTTTTTTTTAAATAAACAATAAATACTATAAATAAATATTTGTATATTTAACGTCCGCGTACCCATCTAAGATTCATAAATCTAAATGCACGGGGAACTTAGCTCATCACTTTCCGGCAAAAGGCAACAAAATTACACGTTGGTCATCCATTTCAACACGGAAATGCTGTAGTGTATACAACCACATGTCCGGTGCCCGCCACTGGACACGAGTAGTTTCTCGCTATTCTCCTAGACTGTAGATCGGGAGACTTGACTACTGTAAGTAATATGGCCAACAAGCAAGCTAATGTCTGAGGCATCTCTGAAGTTTGAGCTTAGACAAAAACCGAGTACCGACATGGGCTAAGACCGAGGCACGCTCGGGTGAGACATCGCGCGCGTTTGCTTCGGGCGGGGCTCATCCTGACGGGACCCCGCGCAGCAGCCTTCCGAGGTTGCTCGGTCAGTCAGTGATATTTATCCATACAATAAACGACGCGATGAAACAATGTAGTAATTAGTAAGTATCTAGGTATACATACGTTTAGAAACAATGTTACTCGTTTCAACAACTTTCATACTTCAGCCACAGCAATTAGATCAAAACCACGTTTGATCGGTTTTGATACTTATTCATGATTTTTAAACGACAAGCCACGTGTTTTTTTTATAAGTTGTATGTTTCTAGGTACCGTACCTAATGTAATTGGCAAGACTAGAACTATATAACTATAGAAATAGAACCATCGAACCTGATTTAAACCAGACTCGTAAGCCTAGTGTAGAATTGTAAATGAGGCGGTTTAAGGTTATAGTACACATATCAACTCAGAAACGGATCGTAACCATATCCGTGCTAAGAACCCACGGCTAGGATTCGGCTACCAACGACGGCGACTGGACCTGGCAACAAAGCACACTTATGAGAATTTTAATAATTTTTCAATTTAACCGCGGCGGGGTACGTGGTTAAACAGTGGACCCGCGCTTTCGACTCGTCGTTCCCGCGCTTACGCCTGTCTGTCGCCGCGCTTGCGTATCTTCGTCCACACTTACACCTCTCACGTGTCCTGCCTGCAGCACACCATTGTTACCGGCGTCTCACGTGCTGCCATTTACGAGGCAACTTCTAATCGTGTTGAGCAGTTTTGTGCTGTGTCAAACTTATCTGGTGCCAGCCAGGTCAACTAGGAGTTGGAAATAGGTATTCGCGTCGTCGCCTAGTCTTAGCCAAGACGACGTAGAGGACCCGCTGATCCGCTTTGGTTACGTGCTTACGTTAGGTCGACGCCTGTTTGAAGGCGAGGCGAAATTCGATATAATGACGATCCCTTACGATTTGTTTAAGTGGGCCGATTCCTTTAGTAGTTACTGCACGCGGGTGAATACACAGGAAAGGCCGCACCTGATGCCCAACACCATACGCTTATCTCGGCAAAACACGCAAACAACACTAACACTCGACATAGCACATTTGCCGGCGAAAGTGAACTCTTCCATTTTAGGCTTACACATTGTAGTGTCGTAAAAGATTATCTGTATAATCAGTATGTTTTAGCAGTAATTTCTGGTTAATATTGTTTTATTAATATTGTGTTGCTTAAGCCAGATTGTCAAACTAACATTTCATTATAAATCAATCATGCTTTGTCTTGCAATTAAAATGCAATGTAAATTGTTCAAGAGTTCCATGATTGTTTGTGATCCAAGTTATGAATTGCATCTGATCCTTTGGATGGTGTTGTAACATTGTCTATCATGCCTTCGGAGTAATGTAGGTCATTGCATCATTCTGACTTTTGTTTAGTAAAGAAACATCAACATAAACAGTTCATCTACTGTAACAGATGTGAAAGAATAGTACATATCAATAAAAATAAAACAAATAATATTAACATTCTTTAATATGTAATGAACACACAGCAAACAGATATTTAAATTCTCAATTGCATATGATGATAAATTAAATATAGCCAATTTCAATGTTGCTCATTAATACAATTTATCTAACACCTCAACAAAATCGCTTGTAAGCATTCATACAAATATCTTTTCTTTATTACTTTTATTTTTAATAATAATATTTTACTTATTTACATTAAAGAAACAAATATAATATTCTGTTTATACAGGATTATATATTTATTTAGGATATGAAATTTTAAAGAAACTTCAATGATGTCTAACTAAATGATGTTCACAACACATACTATTCAAACATAAGGATTCCAGTTACTACCATCTTCAGGATGAAGGCTGTTTGTAATCAGAAGGATGACATCAACAATCCACCAAATTCCTAAGCCACCTAAGGTTAACAGTTTACCTACAGCAGTACCTGTTTGGCCTAAACAAAACCTATCCATCCCAAGGAACCCCAGTAATATGCTGTAAATTAAGGTTGTTGTGAAATAATGTCCAGAATATCTAACACATGGAAAGCCATCACGAAGAAAACTTCGAGTACCGAAGCATTCGATACCATCCAAAACTTTACACTGAACTTTTGTCCTTTCCACTTTCTCGTATCTAACTCCACCGAACTTTACACAGCCATGACCCACAACAGCTTTAGCCGATTCATTCCCTTTGTGATCGACTGGTTCATCGCAGTCTAAAAACTCCAAAGGTAGAAAGTTGCACTTCACGAGTGGGCCTAAAGGTCTGTAAGGTTCTTTGGAATAAGGGTCACTGTCAGATAATGTAATGGGTATCACTATAAATATCAGTAACAAAATGACGTTTTCTGTGATTTGGTGTGCCATATTATTAGCATATTTATAGACATATGATCTTTCCAACCATTTCCGGTTAAACTTTTACTTAAATTAATAAAAGAAACATATTTTTCCAGCCTAGTAAGACATTTCAATAATAAATTGTAGATTATACCGATGTTTTAAGTCCGAACAGATTAATATAACCACAGATGCCACAAAGTAAGAATAAGAAGTTTTGTAATGTACTTTTTAAAAATTAAGTAAAAAAATTAGGACGCCTTTAAACTTTAAAGATCCACCGGCCATGAGGTGGCCGGGTAGTAGCGATGGGCGTTAAATCAACGAACTAGTTGAATCAACCATTGATCTCTTTTTTTTTTTAACGAATTATCTTTAACTGTCATTGAAATCAATCACTTGAATTCGTTAGCGTCGTTTCGGAAATTTTGTCGTTAAATCAACTCGTTTAAAAACGCAGTCAACGATACGTTAAGCGTAACGAACTTAACAAATTGAAAACCTTACGTTGAAAAAAAAAGTCACAGAGTTAAGTTGAAATGTTTGTTTAATTTTATGAAGGACATGTTTAGAGGACTGTGGGTACAAAATTCAAAATATTTGGACGTATTAACAGTGAGTTATGGCTTTATACCTAAAAAGACAATTCTAGCGGGAAAGCTATTTGTAATGTATGCAAGGAGAAAATATCGAACAAATTGACCACTTTAAATCAAAAAAGAACTTGAAGCGGAAATAAATTTAAATATTTTCATCAGTGTTTTAGTACCAATCTTTAAGTAATCCGCCTGTATTGGAACCTAACCCACTCTGTTCCATGCCAGGAACAAGCTAAAATATCATAGTCTTAGTTCAGTGCTCAACCAGGAGATTTCGATGCGAGTGGGACCGTCAAGAAATCATCAGCAACTAAACACTAGTGAATGATGGTTGATTTTGATAACAAAAAAAATTAGTTCAGATCAAAAGAAAAAAAAATTCAGATTTGTTACATTTATGCAAAGAAAGGGCTCGCGATTTAACATACTTAGGTGTCACGTTAACTAGTTGAAGAATTTAACTAGTTGATCAACTATTTGACAAACATGAATCAACGTTAACGTTAAATTGGCGAATATACCTTCAAGGACCCATCGCTACCGGGTAGCCGGGTACTGTGGGCCTCTGCTGCCTAGCCCGAATCTGGTTTAGACAAAAAGTTAATAAGAAAAAACAGCAATACTTATACTTCAAGTGGCAGAAAAAAAAGTGTTTCTGGCTATGGAGTAGTTTTTGTCCATATTGGGATATAGCGCTAAGAAGATAGCAGATGTGATGTTGCAAAAAATAATAGAATTTTTTTTCGCGTCATTGTGCAAATTCCGTTCTGACCATTAAATCAGCAAATTTGCACCTTAAATCAGTATACGACAAGCAAAAAAAAAAAATTCAATTCAATCAAATTATAAGCGTTTTTTCCTGGTGTAATGTTAATATCCTTGATACAACTCTTACAATATGCATAGCTAACAATTTTACGACTCTATTGCAGTCAGTCTGTGAATTATTCTTCACATTATTTTTTATAGTATTGCAGATATTTTTCTTTTTGCACTCGAGCTTTAATCGTTTCCTCGTTAGACGACATGTTAACTTAATAATAGCACTTCGCAACTATAAACTTGAGGTCAAGAAAATTAATCACGAATTCCTGTTTATATAGACAAGTAAATTCTCGTGCGGGAAACCCCATAAGTACGATCCTGAGCCACCTGCATCCATCGACTTCCCGCACATTTGCACAGGTCGTCACTCCATCTAGTGGGGGGTCGTCCTACACTGCGATGGCCAGTACGAGGCTGCCACTCGAGAACCTTTCTTCCCCAACGGTTATCGGTTCTACGAGCTTCCCCATCGCCACTTCAGCTTGCTAATCCTCTGAGCTATATCGGTTATCTTAGTTCTACTGCGGATGTCTTCGTTACGAACTCTATCACGCAGAGAAATACCGAGCATAGCCCGCTCCATAGCTCGCTGAGCGACTTTGAGCTTCCTCATACGGCCAGCAGTGAAGGACCATGTCTCGGTTCCGTAGGTCATCACTGGCAACACACATTGATTGAAGACTTTAGTCTTCAAACATTGAGGTATATTCGACTAGAAGATTTGCCGCAGTTTCCCGAACGCTGCCCATCCGAGTTGGATTCGCCGATTGACCTCTGCGTCGAAGTTGGACTTATCTAGCCGGACTAACTGTCCTAGGTAAACGTACTCGTCAACAACTTCGAGCTCAGTGCACCCAACAACAACCGGTATAGGCGTGACATGGACATTAGACATGATCTTCGTCTTGTCCATGTTCATCTTAAGGCCTACCCGTTGGGAGACACTGTTGAGGTCATTGAGCATAGCACCCAGGTCCTCCAGCGATTCTGCCATGATGACTATATCGTCGGCAAATCGAAGGTGGGTGATGTATTCGCCATTGATGTTAATACCTCGTCCTTTCCAGTCCAGAAGCTTGAAAACATCTTCCAACGCAGCGGTGAAGAGTTTCGGGGATATGACATCACCCTGTCTTACACCCTTCTGCAGGTGGATAGGTTTTGTACTACTGGACTGTACTTGGACACATCGTAGCCTTGCTATACAAACACCTCAGCACTTCGATATACCGACAGTCAATTTGGCACCGCTGAAGAGCCTGGAGTACCGCCCACATTTCGACAGAATCGAAGGCTTTCTCATAGTCCACATACGCTAGGCATAAAGGCAGATTATACTCTTCGGTCTTCTGTATAATCTGCCGCAAGGTGTGTATGTGGTCTATGGTACTGAAGCCTTTTCGGAATCCGGCTTGTTCGGGAGGCTGGAAGTCGTCGAGTCTGGAAGCGAGACGATTCAAGATGACTCTTGAGAACAGCACATAGACGCGGCTCAGAAGGGATATCGGTCTATAGTTCTTCAAGAGAGCGTTATCGCCTTTCTTGAAGAACAGCACCACCACACTTCTGCTCCACGCCTCTGGTGTAGTGCCACCCTGAAGGACGGAATTAAAGAGCCTCTGAAGGACTACAAGTACCGGTTCTCCACCCGCTTTCAGAAGCTCTGCTGTAATTCCGTCCTCGTATCGTACGTATCGTACTTCATGGCAGTCTGTGGGGGAGGCCTATGTTCAGCAGTGGACTCAAACAGGCTGAAATGATGATGTTGATGAAACCCCATAAGGCATCGGTCTTGTAGGACGCAAGTACCATGACCTCACTGGAATTGTTATACTTCCACTTCAATCTGGTTGTCGTCTGGTGAGTGAGGTTGCCGAGATCCTATTTATTAAAAGGTGGCAACGTATCTGCAACCCTACAGGTTTATCTCTTTCTATTTCAGGTGTGTAAAGTGTTTGCTAATGTTGTACTGTCACTGTCAGTTCTTCAGTCACATTGACATTTGATTTGACAGAAAATTTCAGATTCAGTGCACTTCGTTGTACTATATTTGTGATGAATGACTTTAATATTATTAAAAACTTGTTAATTTTTTAAACGATGGAGGTATTTAATAAGTTTTACTCGTCAGTGAGTAATACCGTTTCTCAATTATCAGGAGTATTACCCGGCAACCCGGTAACAAGAGAATTTGAAGCCACCCAATTCATTGCAAGTGCCGGACCAGGTAAAAAAAACAAATAGCTTAATTTTGTCATGTATCAGAACACTGTCATATAACTTTTCACTCTTTTAGGTTTGTTATGGAAAGTTTATAAAGGTTATAAAAAATCAACGAAGCAAGAGGCTTCGATATTTGTTTTCGAAAAAAAACATCTTGATAGATGGACAAAAGGCGACAGAGATGTCATGATCGACATATTAAGGCGTGGTATAGTGCAACTTACAAAGCTGCGCCATCCGCAGATATTAACTGTCCAGCACAGCTTAGAAGAGAGCAGGGAAAGTCTTGCATTTGCAACAGAACCAGTATTTGCAAGTTTGGCAAATATTTTAGGGAATACAGAAAATATGCCTCAGCCTATCCCCAACAATTTGATCAATTACAAATTGTATGAGGTTGAAATAAAGTATGGCCTAATGCAAATAGCCGAGGGCTTGGCATTTCTTCATAATGATGTTAAACTGCTCCACCACAATATTTGTCCAGAATCTATTATAGTTAATCAGCAAGGTGCTTGGAAAATATTTGGCTTTGATTTCTGCATTGCGAACCAGAGTTCACCTGGTGCTGCTTCATTTTGGCCTTTTACTGAGTACTGTCAGGCAATACATCCTTTAACTCAACCATCATTGGATTATTTAGCACCGGAATATATTTTATCAGCAACACATTCTCCAGCTAGTGATATTTATTCTCTTGGAATGATGATATATGCTCTGCACAGTACTGGACATCAGACGTTGGGCAATATTGGGAATGATTATATGAAGTTTAAAAAATTTGTGAATGAAATAAGGAATCTGCCTCAATCTCGTTTGCTATGTGTTACTGAAGGCCTGAGAGAGTATGTAAAACTGATGCTAAACACAACACCTGAGTTACGTCCAGATCCACATCAGTTTGTCAAGGTGAGATTTAATTTATAATTTATTTAATAATGGGTGTGAGTAGTAAAGTAATGAGATTTATTTTATTTAAAGTAAAGTATAGGACATAACTGATTCTTCTGATTGTATTTTAAACTATAGAGCTGTTGATTGCGTCATAACTTTCATTAAAACAGCAATTTGAGTCATAGAGTGTATATCTTTTTTTAATTACAAATGTTACAATTTGATTATTTCAAATGCATCTCTTTCAGATTCCTTATTTTGAAGATGTCGGTGTCAAAACTTTGAACTATTTAGATTCATTGTTTCAATGGGATAACTTACAGAAATCACAATTCTATAAAGGCCTGCCTCAAATCATACAAAAGATGCCACACCGTATATGTATATACAGAATATTGCCATGTCTTACGAAGGAGTTTGTTAATCCACCAATGGTTCCATTTGTGCTACCAAATGTGCTTTTAATTGCAGAAAACTCGAATAAGGAGGAGTACGTAAGATATATACTTCCAGTGTTAAAACCAGTTATGTTGATTCAAGACCCAATACAAATTTTGCTAATATTTATGCAGAAAATGGAACTCTTGCTTAAGTTGACACCAGGAGAAGAGGTGAAGAGCGACATACTTCCAATGTTGTATAGGGCACTCGAGTCTGACGCTCAGCAAATTCAGGAGCTTTGCCTTTCCGTTTTACCAACATTCGCATCCCTTATAGATTATCCAGCCATGAAAAATGCTCTCCTTCCAAGGATAAAGAAATTGTGCATGAGCACAAATTACATCTCTGTGCGTGTGAATTGCTTGCTCTGTTTGGGAAAGCTTTTGGAGCATTTGGACAAATGGTTGGTGCTGGATGAAATTATACCTTTCCTGCCGCAGATACCATCAAGGGAGCCTGCTGTTTTGATGGGTATATTAGGTAAAAAATTTCAAACTCAATTTACGTACTTTGTCCATAAAAAGTCAAAGAATTTTATACTTCAGACAAAACTGTCAAATATAACTTCTTAAATAACATGCAAACATTCATTTATTTTATGAGTTATATTCAGTAGCGGATGTTATGAAGAATAAATTAAAGAACCTTAAAATTTTAGGTATCTATAAACTTGCTTTAAGCCATAAAAAGCTTGGTATTACCAAAGAGGTTATGGCAACCAAAGTTCTACCATTCCTGATTCCCCTGTGTGTAGAGAACGGACTGACTTTGAATCAGTTCAATGCATTGATAACACTTGTCAAGCAGATGATTTCAAAGGTAGAAGCTGAGCACAGGGCTAAGTTGGAGCAACTTAATTCCATACAAAATGAATCTAAGTAAGTTTAACTTTTAAGTCTTATAAGTTTTAATAAGCATGCATTTAAAAAAAATAGTACAGTAGTTACTACAATATATTCCATTTTATATTTTCAGGGTTATGGAACAAGCTTTGACGTCAACATCGGATAATCTAGTTCCAGCACCAACACCTCAGACTGACATTGACAAGATGTTTTCAGGTCTTGGTTTGGACCCCTTTGCATTCAATTCTAGCAAACAGCCCGAAAAACCGCAGCCAGCGATTCCGAGCACGACATCTACTGCTGGATCTTTAAGTATTGAAGAGAAGCAAAGGTGAGAGATCATCTAGGTTGAGTTGAAGATTTATATAAAATGTTGTGATTTAAAAGTATAGGTATAAAATAAAAATATTACAATAAACTTTGCTTTATATGCTCTGTATTCACTAGCAATGTAAAAGCCTGTAATTTTGCCTTGAAGCTATAGAATATTATAACAACATTTGATAATGACCTTTAGTCCTATTAATGGCTAATTTAGTCCCAATATATTCCAATATTTAGCTGTCACATAATATTCAGTCAAAATCTAAATTATCTAGAATATGGTACCTAATGGGTTTCTTGTACTTGTTCTAAGTTGTTTTAAGATAATTCCATTGATTCTGAAAAACTGTAAAACATGTTAATCGTATATTTTCAGGTTAGCCCAGCAGCAAGACACTGTTAGGAAGTTTAGCCGACAGCCACCTCCGGCCGCAATTCCCGCCCCCATGCCTCAACCGTCCAAACCGTTGGACCTAACAAGTTCACTCCTTCAGACCAATCTCAACCAGTTATCCCAAAAGTCATTCACAGCAGCGACAAGTCCTCAAAGCTCAACACAAAGCACTTTGGGGGTGAACCTGTCCAGGCCTAATTATGGAGTGCCAAATTTCACGAGCAACCCGCCTTCAATGAATCTTGGCTACACCCAGAATCCTACCGGTTTCGACAGTCAGCTTGCGTTGCCCGCCAACACGGGGTGGGTAGCGCCCGTCAACACCAACTTTAATAACAAATGGGCAAATAACCAGAGTAATCAAAGTAGCATGAAACAAGACTGGTCCGCTTTCGAATCTCTACTGCCAACCCAAAGCCAGGGCAATAACAGTATTAATGAAGGCAAGAAAGATGGCAACAGCGAAATGATGGATTTGTTGAGTTAGCTTTTGATTATAACCACTTGTGGTCAAACTGAAGTATGTCGACTGCGCAGGGTATTGTATTGACTTAGCATTCATAGTTTAAATGAAAAGGCACTACTTTGGTTTCATGCTTAAAATTTGGCTTTGCAATTATTTGCACCATAAATGATTGGATTTTATATTAGCCACTTGAGACACGATACATTTAAGTTATAACTATGTATGAGGCAGAAGTACCTAAAACTAATTATTGTAATTGGCAATCTCAGTCGTGTATTGGTCACAGAAAGATGGACCAACAGGTTGATTATTTGCAAAAGTTTGTAATAATTGCGTATATTTACATTCCTTCTGTATAACTAGTTTACTGCAATGGAACATTGGAATTCATACTAAGGGTTTGTGTAACAAAACTTATTTATTTGATTCTTACATGAACATAAAATAACTTAGTTGTAAGAAACATAAAAAAAATATTTATTTAGTACCTAACGTACATCTAACACTGATTTATTTTACAATTTATAAACAGAAAGGATGTTTCTTGAAATAATCGAGCTATAATTAATTAATGAAAAAAAAAATTATTTGCAATTGATTCGTTTAAAAATGCATATCATAATCTTAATCTATTGACCATAGATGGTGAATATAATTTTTATTCAGAAATCGTTTGTTTACGCTATTGTAGTTTAATTTAATTTGTTCCCCCATTTTTTGGGCTATGAACTAAATTCGTATATTAATAATCAGTCACAACCATGTGTCTAGCAATATTATATTTATAATTTGAAAATGTAATGATCTCTTAAACATAAAAGGCGATAAAAGATAGGGTTATTTTATTTTATTTGTTTTATATGCATTACTATTAACTATACAATATTGGAAAGTGTTCAACACAGCAAATATTATTAAGTATAAAGGTAAACGAAGACAGATAAAATATATTAATTGTAATCAGATTACAAGTCAATTTAGGAGTGGAATGTTTATTATAACATCATATGATCACATATTTTATAACATGATGCTTTTCAAACAAAAGATTGGTTAAGATAGTTTTAAATAGGTCCTTGTGAAAAGAATCAAATTTCAACTCTCAATATCCTTTGCAATTTATAACCAATCACAATCCTCATAGTTCTTTCGTAGAGTTCTGAATTGTCAGGCAAAATTTTTAAGTACTCGATATGCGTTTGTACTCTATTATGATAAATAGCCCTAAGATATATAGAGTGAAATCAAGTGTCAAAACCTGTTTCAGTATACAGCGTGTCTTTACAATCGCGACAATAAATGAACACACATATAGAGGATAACTTTCTAAAGTTGTATTAAACATTTACTTTCTTTAAACATCAATATTTACAGAGTTATTAAATTTTTCAAAACAAAGAATCTTAGAACACCCTTAAATTTAAAACTGTATCGTAAAGTTCATTTGTAAAGGTCACAAAGCATATGATTCGGTTGAATAAATTTACAAGAGAAAAAACATACTGTTAGAAGGAGAGGCTTGTAATGCGACGCTGTGACAACGAATGAAAAAGTCTCTGAATGTATGAATCAGTCAGTTGTAGTTGTATAGGTGTTACAAATTTTGTTTCTTTTTTACTTAATTAGTTTGTTTGAAAAATATATTTTTTTTAAATTATGGATTTTGTTTAACGTTAATATTTTTTTATGATTATTGGCAAGAAGCGTTAGACGTGTGTTCATTTATTGTCACGATGGTAACGACTCGCTGTATACGCCTTAGCTTTAATCACTGAATCTTAGTACCGTACGTACGTTGCACCACTCTTCAATTGCCAAATTGACTGTACCCGCGCAAATCTGTACTCACAGCTAACTTCTCAGCCGCCACAAGGCCTGGCTACCTCACCGCTGCGTGTCGGCTGTTTGTGTACTTATTTAGTGTTAAACAGAATGATACATGTATTAAATAAAGTGGTCTGTTATCTGATCACCGTCGCCGTCTAAAAGAGGCGGCGAGGAAGGCGCAAGCCGTGGCCGCCTGCAGGATGCTGGCCGTGAAGAAGCAGGTCCGGTACTCGTAGCTGCAGAGGAGCGCCCAGAGCATGAGGGCCATCGCGACCGCCGCGTCGGCCGCGCTGCTCGTGGCCGTCCGGTCGAACTCCTTCAGCGAGCTGCTGCACAGCGGCTGCTGCAGCACGCTCGACGCGGCGCAAGCGAAGCTGCCCAACATGCCCCACACCGCGAGGAAGCTCTTGTTGCCCGTCATGCCTATGCCTGGAACGGATGCCGTCCGATGATCTCCGACGCCTCATCGAATGTTTGTCATGCCGTTTTAAGGGAAAAGTTTGCAAATCACAATTAATGGAACAGCGCAAAGGCTTTATGGAAATCTTGGTGATCAACGACGCGCTGATATCTAAATAACGTAATTACCATAAAAGCCGACGGCACCGCAAGCGCAGAAGGCGGCGCACAGCCTGGCCTTCTGGTTGATGGATCTGGGGAGGACCACGCACAGCATGATGAAGCACAGCGCCGCGCCGTGCGCCGCGCCCGTCAGCGTTGCCACCTAACCGACACACGTTTGTTGCTAAGCAAGATACTTAAATGTCGTAGCTAGGCTTGAAACACGACGAATCTACATTGCGTGCATTAGTTTAACCGCATTATAGAGTAATTTTCACTGCTCTTTCACTTCGCCCAAGTTCTGTTTCGAATTTGATTCAGCGGCAGATTCTCTAAGGATGCATTTGCTTTGTATTATTTATGCACACGCATTTTAAATTTTAGGAGCAGCATTATTCAGCATTCTTTGATGCTAAATGTACCTGATTTTGAGTTATGTACCTGATTACTGCCGCCCATGGACATTACCAGTTTTTTGGTGGCAAATGTGTTGCGAATTTTCAAAGAACTGGACCCGCTTACTTCACTCATCAGACGAAACGGAAAAGTATAACACTCCATTTCACGCCGGTCTTTTCAGGCTGTGATAGTTCCCCGAACCCGTCTACCCATTTCGGCACTAGCAGAAGCTGCAGCGTTTTCCTACCACTGTGTGTTTTCGTAGGCCCTGTGATCTATACACCATTATGCAGTAAATAGGAGTAGGTATAAGCAAAAACTTTAATTTTTGTAATAACAATCCAATATACTTTCTCTTACCGATATACATGAATGTTACTAACCGCCCATATGTTCATCGATGGATTCTGCTCCCAAACTAAAGGCGGGAAAACTATTCCAAGCACGAGTATTGAAAAAGTTGTGCAAAGATGCAGCAAGGTATATAAGTAAAAATTTAAATCTTGCAGCATGTTTACAATAGTAATGAAGTTCTTCTTCAAAGACGCGGTCCTTCTAGCAGTTCCGGGTGTCACTTCTGGAGAGAAGACTAGACTATTTTGGGGCGCGTCAACCGTTGTCTCACGATACAGTGGTTGTGGCTGGGCTTCCCTCTCTATGCTCGTCAGCTCCTGATATCCGCTGATTCGACTGTAGCTAGTGACATCAAGCGACCCGAAGTCTGATGAAAATCGGTTCGTAGTTGATGGCCTATCTGCCAACATAGTGCTGAAATCAGATGAAAACCTTCCCTCGCGTGTGCCATTTATACCATTCTCTCGAAGCTCCACAGACGGGTCAAGTATTTCCTTTGCGTTTTTCCGTGATTTGAAGACAACAACATCTGTGTTGTCTTCATCTTGAGCTTGGTTTGTATTCCCTTCAGCCGCAGGAGGATTACTCGGTGTGCTTTGGGGGTCGCTCTGTCGCTGATTTGAGAAAATAACCTCGTCTTCATCTTCCACCGCATCACGCAGCATGTTGTAAGTGGTCTTTATAACTTTCTCTATGTATATGGGTCGTGTGTAGGCAGCCAAGAAAAGGCAGTTCTGCATGATGATAGCTCCGTATATCATGACGACGACGTCGCCGGTGTACATTGTGCACAGGTAGCCCACCAAAATGGGCACAAGGCAGTTGCCCACGGAGGGGGCCATGCGCACGATACGCTGTGCGGTCGTCAGCTTCTCGCGAAAGTAGTGTGTCACGATCACTTCTGTCTGTTGGCCGGTTAGGGCACAACCGATACCTGAAAACGATAAGTAATCATAATATAATTCACGATGCTTGCAACTATAAAACCTTTCATACACTTTCCGCTAACTTATTTGGTACCCGGTAGACATTATTTTCGACTATTCTAATGCATACAACCAGCTGGAACATACAAATGCTTGTGAAGGCTAATTTAGCCCTGAAGAAGTGCACCTTTTGCTGTATGCAAAATTAACAACGATGCGTTAGTTTAAATGCGTGGAATGTTGACCACAAAAATGTTGTTCGAAGATTTAAAATGAGAGGAGAATCAATGCATTTATCTCTGATAAGATTTCATACAATTTCGAATGCGTTGAATGAATTAAAAAGAGATAAAACATACTGTTAGAAGGAGAGATTTGTAATGCGACGCTGTGGCAACGAATGAAAGTCTGAATGTATGAATCAGTCAGTTGTATAGGATGTTACAAATTTTGTTTATTTTTTATTTAATTATTTTGTTCGAAAAATATTTTTTTTAATTATGGATTTTTTTAACGTGTGTCCATTTATTGTCGCAGGTGTAACGACACGCTGTATAATATTTTATGGTTTGTAAAATGTTGATGATTGTTTGTTTATATAAAGTTAAAAAAAACCGGCCAAGTGCGAGTTGGATTCGCGCACGTAGGGTTCCGTAGGAAGCGCGGAGTCCCGGGCGAAAAGCTAGTAATTGAATATGAAATATAAATATATATAGATAAAACAATATACAATTGGGTATGTGCCTATGATTACTACAATACTTATATATGTATGTCCTATCGTATCTATATTTTCAAATATCTATAATACGTATAGGTAATAAACCTATACAATACTATTGTCCACCAAAATATGCTTGACTCTACCCGGCCCATCGTTTCGACTTGTTAAGAATAATCGTACAGTAGAGGTCCCAATAGAGACTCCTATAAATTTTTTTTTTACACATTTAGAATATGTTAAATAATAGCCAAAAACATGTCTTAATCGAATTAAAATTTTCATTTGGGTAATGAAACCTTAGTATTTGGTTTGCATTTATAATGCAATAAATCTAATACAACAGAAATATAGAAAGTATTGGCTTATTTGTTTACATTATATGTGATAACTCGTCTTTAATCGTATTAATCATTAAGTAAATGAGGACTTTGATAAGCTGCACTAAATGACACACCTTCTAACAGCGGAAAGAATATCATTAAAGAATTAAAGAATAATAAAAAATTATCACGTATGATATTAACGTGTTTTGTAGACACGTTCCATTTACCCGTTTCCAACAAAAGAAAACACAATTTATTTAATTATTGAGAAGACAATAGATACCTGCGAAGATTCCAGAGAAAATGTTTACAATGTGGTCATTACTGTAAGCACTTGTCGAGTAACTGGAAAGTAATACACCAGCTACTGTTAAACAAAGTCCAGAGAGAGCAATAAATCTTGGCATATTAAAAATTTTGACCATGGCTCTGCACCAAGATTCTAACAGAAGTCTTATTATCACCATTATCACAGGCACCAAAGCTATGTCCACGTCCCATATCTTCATTACTTCTCCTTCATCGTGATCTTCTTCCCTTATTGCCTTCAAAATAATAAGGCCGTATAAACTCAAAACAGTAGGTACAGTTATGTGATAAAGTGCTGCAGAAAAGACAATCAACCATCCATATCCTCCATCTGGAGGTGTAGGCCCGATTTCTGGATGTGATGCTACAATTCTGTCTAAGTGAAGATCTTCAATACGATCTCCTCTCTCTGCTCTTGAAGCGTTAACATTTTGATGAGTGTCCATTTTTCACACGGTAAACAATAACCACGACAAATTCATCTCTAAATAAGCTGGTCAATGAGCTATCTATTAGCGAGAATGTCTTATCTTATCCTTATCTTGTCGTGTAATCTAGTATTCCACATGTTTTGAAATCACTGACAATGGTACTGATTTGGACAGCGTTTATGTATTTAAACTATATGTTTTCTGTACATAATACACAATTATTTTATTGTAACAATTAATAATTCTTAATATTCTCTAGATTATAATATCAATAAATTTCTGAACGTTACATTAAATTTGTGATATTATGATACAAATTTACGAAGTAACTAAAAAATGACGTAGAAAAAGAAGGCCTTATTGCAATTCCTTTTGCAGTAGACAAGGATAGTATGTATTTGCACGAAATACACCGTTGTCCATTTTTTAATGTATCATAATCCTATACACAAGTTTCGTTTGACCGATATCTTTGAGAGACGCTCCTATTAGAAAATATCTATAGAATATCAATAATGCAATGGTATTTTCCATTTTCGTTACTATGACAAACGATCAGTGACGTTATTCGTTTAGTGTGATGCCCTATTTAACAATTTTATTTCACGAAATTAAGATTAACTCGTAGCGCATACTTCCGTCGAGACCAAGCATTTTAATTGCTCTGGTTCGGTGGTTTGATTTCATGGTGGATTATTGCAGGTTCATCCATGTAATTGCTCATGGGTAAGGACCGGGAGCTAGTGATAACTGTAATAAAAAATAACTATGGAGACTGAATCTGTGAGGTCGGAACTAAGTAGCCGATCGCGGCGCAGCTCCCGGCATAGGCAGCATACTCATAGAAGCACACGGTAAGTAGGCATTTATTAGTTACAATAATAGTAGTTATATACCGAATTTTATACCTGAGCACCCTCTTTGTCTCGCAAGATTGTATCTATTTTTGTATTAAGTTTTTAAACCTTCAAACAAACTGCAGGGAGAAATTATTAAATAAGGTAGCTTTTATGCTGAAAACACTACGGTTTCCTAATGCCATTAATCTAAAATGTAATGAGGAAATGTAACATAAATGAAGTTAATGCATTGTTAGGTTTAGAATAGCATTGTCAAGGGTTGGTCATGATTATATGTAACTATGATACATATTAAAAGCTAGTTGCTAGTCATGAGCACATCCAGCTAGACACAAATCTATAATGTTACTTATTATGTAATAAAAATAATATAATAACAATTGATATGGTCAGCCATTACTATGATTGCATATTTTTATTACAGAAGTGAAAAGTTAAAACTAGGATTACTTAGGTTACTGTCATTTAACATTCATACAAAAGCTGAAGCTGCTTCATGGACCTACCGCAGTAAAATTTTGAGTAATTAAGTTTATTTTTAAAGCAACAGAAATAATATGAAACAACTACAATAAATTGTTTTATAGAGATCATATATCAGAAAACTAATATTATTTTTTAGAATTTTAACATCAATTAGGAAACATGTGACATTACCCTGTTGGTGATGCGAACCTCTCAATTTATTTTGTTCTTCTTACATTTAATAATTAAGGATAAACTGAAATTAGTAAGCTCTGTCAAAAATCTGGAACTCCTTTTTTATTAATGAAAAGATACATTTACTCAAAGTAACATAATTATTTTGTAATTCATTTGATAATTAAATATTATTATTTGATATAATTATGTATTTGTCATTTATAAATTACAATAAATTTGATATATGTATATATTATTTACTAGCTGACTAGATAAACATTGTTTTGCCATATAAATTATTTCTTTGGAATTTTTCAATCTGAACACATAGAAAGAGAATTTTTGGAACACACACATAAAGTGTTTGACAGGTTACACAGACACAGTTGACAGTTTGACAGGTACAGTTTGTATGGGAAAATAAAATTGTTGCTATTTCGATTTTCCATGCAATTTTTCCATAATTTCTCATTGTTTAAACCTTCCCTGTACTGCCACAAATATTTCAAAACCTAAATTAGCCAAATTGGTTGTCGAGTTTTATCGAGACTAACGAACAGCAATCCATTTTTATATATAAGATAAGATTTAGTTATACTTTTATACCCCAAAGTTACAAGTCCACTACTACTTTGCAATTTTATATTAATGTATATATTTATGTAGGGTATGTTATAGAAATATCTGGGTGCATTGAACACATTTCCAGCTACCTTCAATCACCTATTTTCTCACCAGGTTAGCTGGCAGAGAACTCATGCGTTGAGTTAAGCTTACCTTTTGTACATTATTTTAATTTTTTTTTTGTATCTTGTGTTTTGTATACAATAAATTAATATACTAAACTATTGCGATAGTCTGTTATTTTTGTCTGATGGCTTATGCTGCACTAGTAATTTTGTTTTATTTTTTGCTTATTTTGTTCATAACTTACTAACAATCGCTATTGAGGCGTCTTGTTGATTAGTTAGTTATGATACTTTATTATACAGCGTGTCGTTACCATAGCGACAATAAATGAACACACATATAGGGGATAAGTTTTTAAAGTTGTATTTAACATTTAAATTCTTTAAACATCAATATTTACAGAGTTATAAAATTTTCCAAAACAAAGAATTTTAGAACACCCTTATTTATAAAAGCGTAACGTAAAGTTCATTTGTAAAGGTCACAAAGCATATGAATGGGTTGAATGAATTTAAAAGAGACAAAACATACTGTTAGAAGGAGAGGCTTGTAATACGACGCTGTGGCGCGAGTTGTATAGGATGTTACAAATTTTGTTTCTTTTTTACTTAATTAGTTTGTTTGAAAAAATTTTTTTTTAATTATGGATTTTGTTTAAGGTTAATATTTTTTTATGATTATTGGCACTTAGCCTTAGACGTGTGTTCATTTATTGTCGCGATGGTAACGACACGCTGTATAAAAGAACGTACACAGCTGCTCAATTTTTAATAATTTGGCAACTTCAAAGGTACTTTTTATAACTTAATTGTTGTCGTGATAGAGGGTGGGTGTAATGCTATATAAAGTGTATCATTGTATGGAAGACAAGCTAAGCCAACCAAAGCCAAGTGATTTCAATGTCTATTTATGCATATAAAATTATGTCCCTTAGTAAGACTAGTGCAGGATAAATAATGTCATATCAAGTATCAATATTGGCATTGAAATTATTTCAATTTTTTGTTGTGATAATCAAGACCCAGTTCAAATTAGTTGATTGCGGAACTAGTAGATAGTGATATTGCGACATATTATTTTTTGTGACAACCATTATCTTTAATTTCTATTTTGTTTCAGAAGTACTAAATCTCAAAGAAAAGACTGTGGTGACAGTATCATGGCACCTTTTCAAACCAGTGTTAACATAAACCCAGAAACAGGTCGTGATGGCCAAGAGGTCATTGAGGTGCAGATATTACCGCAGGATGAAAATTGGGGAGAGAACACAACTGCAGTCACTGGGAACACATCTGAGGGCTCTCAGTCAATGGAAGACATCAGTAATTGGGCTATAGAGACAGACAGTGGGTTAGGATTTGTCTGTTCGAGATATTTTGGGACAACAGTTGCATTAGGATTGTCATTTGTTTCATTTGTTAGCCCATTAGCAATGGTTGTTCTTCCAAAAATTGGATTTTTTCCTGGATTGTCAGACAACATAGCCATTCAACCTAGCCAAAGGATACAATTATTGTCATGTACAGCAGAATGTAAAGGAATTCTGCTATCATTAGCATTTAAATTAGTTTTACTAGCAATTGGAGTGTGGGCGGTGTTTTTGCGGCCTCATAACGCAATTCTACCTAGGATATTTGTTTTTAGAGCTATGACTTTAGTCATCCTTGCTGTATGTACATTTTCTTACTGGTTATTTTATATAGTTCAAATAACAGAAGCAACAAAAGCATTGGCTCTCGGGGAAGAGGCGGTGGATTACAATGCCTTAGTGTCTTATGTATCAAGTTTCTCTGATACTCTACTCTTCATACATTATATAGCCGTAATTTTAATAGAAGTGCGGCATTTAGAGCCAGTTTATTACATTAAGATTGTGAGGAGCCCGGATGGAGCAAGTAGATCATATGCTATTGGAGAATTAAGCATTCAGAGAGCGGCAGTGTGGGTTCTGCAAAAGTACTATACAGAGTTCCCGATATACAATCCATATTTGGAGAAAGTTCCAATATCAAAGTCCCAAAGGAAAGCCCAGTCCAGTATCAAATTCTATGATGTGGATGGATCTAATACCAATACTGCGTCAGGACAGCCACGGTGAGTAGATTTTTGATTATTGTAGACTGTGCTATAGAATGTAATTTGGCAGATGCATTTTATAATTTAAAGTAATTTAAATTATATTAAATCAAATGAAATAGTTATTGCAGATGAGGTAAAAGACTTATGTGTAGCCTTTTTTTAGTCTTGTCTGGGAAGTATCCTTTTTTTTGTCTGTTAAGTGCGGTAACAAGAGCCTTCATCAGCTGAGGTGCTTGCTCACTACTGTTGTACATAATTTTTGAAGAAAGAAAAAGCTCTATATGATTTTATTTTACGTGAAAAGTTGTCAAGTGAGCATGTGGTTCATCTGATGGTAAGTGAATACTGCCTTCAAAGAAGTGGGCCTTGGCCACTTCACTTATGAGATGAAGCATGAAAGTTTATGGAAATGTTGCTGTATGGATCTATATAAAAAGATCAATATTGGTCTGAATATATGGAAGAGAAATGTTATAGTTGATATATGTTGACATATGATGTCCGCACCCCAGGTCGGCGCCGGGCTCGTGCGCGGGCAGCGGCGGGCGGCGGCGCGACTCGGGCTCCGCGCACAACGAGCGCTACTACGAGGAGGCGGAGCGCGCGCGGCGCGTGCGGAAGAGGCGGGCGCGGCTGCTCTCCGCGGCCGAGGAGGCGTTCGCGCACGTGCGCCGGGTGAGGGGCGCGGGCGGGGCGGCGCTGGGCCCGCGCGAGGCGGCGCAGGCCGTGTTCCCCTCGCTGGCGCGCGCGCTGCAGAAGTACCTGCGCGCCACGCGCCAGCAGCCGCGCCACTCGGCCGACGCGGTGCTGGCGCAGCTGGCGCGCAGCCTGGCGCAGGACGCGTCGCCGCGCGCCTTCCTCGAGCCCTTCCTGGCCGAGGCGCCCGTGCTGAGCGCCGAGCGCGAGGCGCGCGCGCTGCAGCGCTGGGCGCTCGTCAGCGAGGCGCCGCCCCAAGCCGCGCTGCGCCGCGCGCCGGACGGCGCCTTCCAGCTGCGCCAGGGCGACGTGGCGCTGCTCTGCTCCGTGCGCCCGCTGCCGCGCTTCGCCCTCGCCGAGGAGCTCGTCGACCCCAAGAGCAACCGCTTCGTGCTGCGCCTCAACTCGGAGACCTCCGTCTGACTCGCTCCGCCCACGCGCCACCGCCTCGTCTGACCACTGACCACTGCTAGTTGCACCGTGCGAGAACTTTATACGTTGAGGACGTGTAACAGTGCTATATTATATCATATTTTTATTAGACATGCTACAAAAATTAGGTTAGCAATATTTCATTTGACACTCATAACTATAATGGTGCAGTCAGTGTCCACTCAATTTTGATTCAATATACCCAGTGCCAGCACAAATGACATTGTTAATTTGAAGTTGCTAACTTATCATGTGCCCATCAGTAAAAAATACACATTGTGATGAATTCTGAATGTTTTCAAATAATTGAAAATATATATATTTCTGAAACGTTTGAAATCTGCCAGTCTGCAGTGAGATAACATGGTGTATAATACTCTAATATTCTCGATACAGAGGAAGCCTTCACTCAGCAGTGGGACATTTACTGACTTTTACTTTAGTTTAATTATCATCTATTCCATGTATAATGCTAATAATATATTAAAATAATCCATATTTCTTTGTATATTTTTATAAACTCGCTTTTACAAAATGTCTATATGTAGCAAAAGATACTGTTGAGAATAAAAGCATATACATATATATCATATCATAGGTTAAATATTTATTAATAGATTTACTAGCTAATTACTGTACCGTTAGGATGTACTGTACTGTTAGAATTAATTGTTTTATCTTTAGTGCTAGTTTCTGCACTCGAGATGAAACTAAATTGTGAAATTTTGTAGATAAATGGACAAAAACTTTCGGGTGTTACGAGATTCGAGTTTGCATCTTCCGGTTTAGGGCCCAGACGATTTACCAAATAAGCTAAGCAACTGACATTGTAATTTTACCAATGCTTGGCGGCATTTAGTGCGCCTTCTTTACAACAAACAACCGCTTTTTCATATAAAATTTTAGAATTAAATATTTGAAAACCAGTGATGACACTTTCGCTATTAAAATTTTAAAAAGGTTTTATAGTGATATTCTCTGCGCCAAATATTGCTTTAAAATGTAATAAAAACAGTGCTTAGCTTAGCGGCTAGGTGCTTAGATGGCTTAGTGGGCGTGTATCCCGGAGCATGCAGATTCAAACACGCGTAGGGGAAAAAAACTTCGTCCATTTTTCTAAAAAAATTTAATGCAAATCAGGAACATATTAGGACTAATGTTGCACAAGTTTTAATAACATGGGGAAAAGGACACCAGTGAATTGTTTTTTTTATAAGAAGTCTCATATTAACTTTAAAATAAGGTTTCTCATGAAAATAACATAAAAAATGGCCAATACTTTAGGCTTACATGACCAAAGACTGCTTCGATTATTGTTAATAATTACATAGTTGATTGGAATAAGACGGAGAATGACTTATAAATATTATTTTAAGTATACCTTATATCTGAAGTAAACTTGTATCAAATGTCTATCTTAGATTAAACGGAAGAGCCTTTACTCTAATGTTAATCTAAAATGACATCATTTACTTTGAAGTTGCATTTTAATTTAAATAACTTACATTTTCTTAACTCCTAATAATGTGGCAGAGATTTTTAATATGATATTCAGGTATTACTTAAGTAGCAGCTTACATATTGAAATAAATATAGAAAAAAGTTCACTGCATTTATTTTAGGAAAATTGATTGATTGCCTTAAGGAATATTATAATGTTTTCATTGTCAATTTATCGTAATATTTGGATTTCAAACATTTAAAAGTGGGCAGTGCAATTTTATGTAATAAAAATTGAAAACATTTCTATATCTATAATGAAAGACATTTAAATTGTATGATAATTTGAAGCAATCAATGTAACATTGATGTTAGCTTACAATGTTATATTTAGTAGGTGTTATAACAAATACAAAATGTTTTTAAATTTTTTTTTAACCCTTTATGTATATGCCATATGGTTTTGAGACTGGTTAATTGTAACTGGCACATGACATTTGTAAATTGGTAAAAGAGTCGTCATTAATTTAGAATTATGTTGTTTTTATTGAATCTCAGTGTTTTGTGTTGTCGAAATTGTAAAATTTCACGTTACTTATCCGTTATTAAATTTTATTTTTTAAGAATTCAATAATAAATTTAGACCACAATGACTAGGTTAAGTCCATGTTCTAATCTTCGTGAAACATTGCTCAATTGTTGCAGCCTTTTTGAAACGCTTGTGCCTGCTTCGGAATAAGACTTATGTAGATTTGAAGTAGTAGTATTTAAGGATTGGAGTAGAAATTAACAATGTTTTTAAATATATGCCGAACCAAGTCAATAATCCAAAACATGAACAATTTATGGTGGTGACAATTTAACAACTCGTTTTAGCACGGAAACTAGATAAAATTGTGTAATTTGAATAATAATTTTGTATTTATGTGATTATAGGGATTTGTGCTCTCTCATAATATTTGTACTTTTTATGTACTTATTTTGATATTAGCGTTAGTTCTCACTTAAAAAAATATAAAAAATACAGTTTGTAATTACAATGCCATAAAATAAACATAAGTAAAACTCTGTAAGCATAAGTTAACAGTAACATTATTGATATTGAAAACATTTACTTTTTATAGTTTCCTACGATTACTCCGGCATGGAATATGAATATATGAAACTAAATGACGCACAAATATCTATGGTTAAATGTAATATCGAGGGAAATGCGATCGCTGTAAAACAATTTTGTACACTTTTGTATTTTATAAATATATCTTCATATAAAGTGCATTTTGTAATCGTTTTATTTTACCTCGCAGCTAGAATCTGAGTTATACTAAACAAATGAGCATGGAACTTATTTATTTCTCCAAATGCTCCATTTTATTTTTAACTTGTTTTTTTTTAACATTGCCCTTACTCTGGATTAACTCTGTTGTGTTGTAAGGACATTACCCTTAAACTTCGACACAAACACCTGTGCGTCACCCAAATAGTTGTCCCATGTGATAATTGAACTCACGACCCCCGACGCCGAAATCTTGGCAACTACACCACGAAGCCATCGAGGAAACGTAAAGAAAAAAAATGTGTAACTTTAATTCATTACATAAAATTATCACGTTGAACGCCACGCGGCCCACCGGTGGGCGAATTAGGCACCCCCGTTCGGCCCGAGTGGAAATCATCAATTCCATCATCTTTCCGCCTAAGGTAATATCGACACAAAACATTACAAAAATCGCTTTTGTAGGTATATTTAATTTGGTTTAAACCATTTTTCGCGATATTTTCGTAACGAAATGTGTAATCGTTCACCGGTGACCCCCGTGGCTTTGTGGTGTAAAATCTCGATGTTACGTTTCCTGGGCCACGGGGTCACCGAATGGCCCACCCCAGAAACTCATTAGTAGGCAGAAAAAGATATATACCATATACATTAAGAAAAAAATGTTAATGTTTTTTCTTACTATACACATGTTCTTTTCAAAAGGGTTTTTCAATGTATATATTATTTTGTGTGAAAAATTGCCAAGAGTCTCTCAGTCTTCGGTTCAACTGATGACGGAAATGATAATGCAAAAGTATAATACTTTCAATTCACGCCGAGCTTCCGCCAGGCCGTGGTATTTTCCTGACGAACGAACACACGAACCTGCTCAAAATTATATACTGAAAAATTTGAGTACCTCTCAGTCTTACTCTTGGGTGTTTTATATAGTAATAATAATAATAAAAGTTCAGACAGTGTAAACTTGGATCATTTAGTTATTTATAAGTCAATGCGTCTAAAACAATGTAGAAAAGTTAAGATAAATTTTAAAGACAATTAAAATTCAATTAAACAAGTTTGTCAACAATTCAAACAACAACTTGGTAACGAATTATATTAGTATGTCCATTAGCTGTTCCGCAATTAGGTGCATATCTATAAATACTTGATATTTAAGCAACAATTTTATTTAAACCAAAACAATTTTTATACTGTTCCTTGGCATAGAACAAAATTCTTTTAGTGGTGATATATAAATAGTTTTATGATACACTTTTAAAAATTATAAAAAAGTTATGCCTAACATATCGGTTCGTAAACAAATATCACAGTAGTTTCATTGTTACACGTAATGTAAGGTCTAAATTAATTATCTGTACACAAAAAAGGTTTTTAATAATCTGTCATATAGTAACCAGGAAACGACTTGAGTAAATCGTCACAGCGGCTTGGGCAGTCATCATTCCCTGCCGGCCCCTTCAGTGCATCAAATGCATTTTTCAAGACTTGGCCGGTCACAACGCTCCATATTAGAGCTCCCTTGTGGCGTTCATCGGTAGCACCGCGTAAGCCGTGGCGGGATTGTACATGCCGCTAATAAACTTCCCCCTCGACTGGCACTTGGGCAGGTACCAGAAGAGCCAGAGGGTCGTCGCCGAGACGAACATGCAGAAAGCGATCAGTCCGATGGCCACACCCACGTGCTTCTTCGCAGCAGCACATTTGAAGTACTTCGAGTTCAGCTCGAATACTTTACTGTTGTACATCGGCTTCGGCGTGTAACATCTGAAATTATATTGAGAAACAGATAAAAAATATGACGCACAATCAAAATATGTACACACTCAACGATTTTAAATGGAATTATACGTATTTAAGGCACACAGTCGCCACTTGCAGACCGTATTAATAACGAAACTATTCAGGTTAATCGATTTTACTATGTACTAACCGTTACAAGAATCGTTTATAGATAAACGCTTATGTTTAAATTGTCTTATACACATGAGATTGAAGTTAGTATGTTATGATGCATTACTCACCTCAAGTGTTCGTAATCGTTAGGTTTAATTTGAAACTGCTTCAGCCAAACAAGTCGACAGTCGCAGTGCCAAAGGTTGCCCTGAAGGTCCAACCTTGCTAGCTGCCCAAGAGGCACTTGGAGCCGTTCATCGAGGCTGCTCAGGCGTGAGGATTTCAGCGACAACTCCTCCAACAGGAAATCGTCAGCGTCCTCTAGAACCTCCCGCCCGAAGGCCAAAGCGCTGAACTCGGTCAAGTTCTTATTTCTTTCCAACTCCAGCTTAATTAAGCCGTGCAGCGGGGCAAAGGCGTAGGCTGGAACCTCCTTTATAGCCACGTTGTTCATTTTCAACACCCTCAATGCGGTTAAGTCGTTGAAATCCTCTTCGGCCACCTCGACAATAGGGTTGTCAGACACGTCCAAGTGTTCCAGCGTGAACGGTATCTCGAATAAGTCGGTTAGACTGTTGTTGGAAATATCCAATTCCCTAATGTCGTACGCGTCTATAAAAAAGTTGTCGTGTACCGCATTTAAATTGATTCCGCTGATGGATACCTTACGAATTTTATTTGTCAATCCGTAGCCGTCTCTATCGAAGAGGTCGGTATCGTCCAAGCTACGTCCAATGTCATTGTTGTCCAGAACTATCTCCTTCAACTCGCTCAGAGGGTGGAAGGTGAGTTTCGTGAACGAAACGAAGTTGTTATCTGCTAAATTCAAATACTCCAGCTTTCTGATCGACTTGAAAATGTCCCCGTTTATCCTCTCCAGCCGGTTGTTGCTCAAGTCTAATCTCTTCAACTCCGGGAACTTCAGGGCGCCTGCTTCGATGTCGGCTATTTCGTTGTTCTTCAACACCAACTCTTGTAGACTGTTCGAACGTAAGAAATTTCCGGAACGAAGCGCTTTCAAACCGTTCGACGACATATCTAAGGCGTAGGCTTTATCGGGCATTGTTATGTTGTCTTTAATAACGTTTTTCTTATGGGAGCAGTCGATGTACTGTCGAATGAAGTCCTCATCGACCCTGTCATGGTATCGGCACGCGCACTGGCTGCCACTGTCACAGAACGTCCAACTTTGCACTTTATACACGTTCAATATAAAGGCTATAATGACTAATAAGCGACGCATCGTTTTCAGCAAGTCTATCGTAAAACGCGGTCGGACTCACAATGATAGCGGCGAAGCGAAAACCTTATCATTAAACACGTTATCTCTGATATTTGATTGTTGGTCATTTCACTCTGTTTACCGATAGGCAAGGCACGCACGAAGGTGATAAAGTGTTTATTAGGTGTTCAAAAGGCTTCGATGTATAATATATACTCAAAAGTATATTCATCCTGATCGTATTATCACCTTTATCATCGTCAGCTCCTGGGGCCCTACTGATGGGCATAGGCCTTTTTCCTCTTGTGTCATTTTATCTGTCTTGAGCAAACCACAACGAAGTCTGCAGTTGGTCTGCAGACCCAGCAACAAGTCTTGCTCAGCGCTTCATGACATTATTAGATATTTGGCCAAAAAAGATGTGTCGTGCGTCTATTTTAAACAGTTTTTCCTGTTTATCAGGAATAACCTATCACATTTCTAATCCAAAGAGAGACCAAAAAGACTTATCTTCCTTGTCCTATATACGTTACACCAGTGGCGGATTACGCAGCAGGCTACTGCCCGGTTTCTGAAGTTCTCAGTCATATTCAGATTAGCTATTAGTTCAATAAAGTTATGTTTAATATGAACTGCGTTTCACTTTCTGTATTTTCTTAATTATAAGTTTTTGGTTTAGTGATATTGGCTATCGTTGCTTAATTTTAACCATTCTTTTGTATAAAAAACAGTAATGTTTGTTGTTGCAGTTGGGAATAAGTAGTAAAAATTTTAATGTTTAACTTTAATTTTAATTTTAGTTTTTAACTTATCGAAGTAGCCAAGGACTTTATAAGTATTTGTATTCGACAACAAAAGACGGATTGGATCTCCGACCTCTGTAGAGGCGAAGAAATAAGCTTGGATGGTTTAAAAATAAATATAATGCTGTTCTTTTTACTTTGAACGATTTTAATACTTAGGTCTCACCAGTAATCATTATATACATATTTTATATACAGCGTGTCGTTACCATCGCGACAATAAATGAACACACATATAGGGGATAACTTTTTAAAGTTGTATTAAACATATAAATTCTTTAAACATCAATATTTACAGCGTTATTAAAAATTTCCAAAATAAAGAAGTTTTAGAACACCCTTACCTATAAAAGCGTAACGTAAAGTTCACTTATTTGTAAAGGTCACATAGCATCCTGAATGGGTTTAAATGAATTTAAAAGAGAGAGAGAAACATACTGTTAGAAGGAGAGGCTTGTAATGCGAGAGCTGTGGCGGGAGTTGTATAGGATGTTACAATTTTGAGGAGAGGGAGAGTTTGAGGAAAGGGAGAGTTTGGGGAGAGAGAGAATTAGTGGAGAGAGGGAGAGGTGTGAGCATTCCGATTTGTGGTTTGGGGCGAAGGTGTGTTTATTTTTATGGGAGAAAGTGGCAAACGAGCCGGTGGTTCACCTGATGTTAAGTGATAACAGCCGCTCTTGGATATTTGCAACACTCGTAGGGTTGCAAATGTGTTGCCATCTTTAAATAAAGTGGGTCCCGGTTACCTCACTCACCAGACGAAATGCAGAAGTGTAACACTTCTACTTTACGCCGGTCTTCCGTGAGGTCGTGGTACTTCCCCGGATGAACCTGCCCATTCGTGCAACAGTAAAACACCGTTTCGTGGTCCTACCACAGTGTATTAATAATATTTGAACCAAGTCTAAAAGATAACTACTTATCAGGCTTATCAAAATACTAAATTTAATTTGAATATAATGTAATTAAAAAAAATATTGAATAAATAAATCTAATATAATCCTCGAGAGTCTATTGTGATTAATGTAGTTAAGAGATGGTGAGATCATTTGTCACTTGTGATCCATGATAATTGTGACTAAAAATGTCCAATTTTGTTGTGAAGGTTGCTGTAGTGTATATTGGTGGTAAATAAAAAAAAAACTGTTTGTTGCGTCGGAAATCGTTTATTAAGGAGTCGAAGAGGCGACGAGGTTGTTTTTGGGGGATGTCTAGAAGCGGCTGCGTGTGGCTGGCGCTCCGCCCTTCGAGCCTGCCTCCTCGTGCGCCTGTCACGAATGTTACGTTACATATGTTTTTGACTATCGTTTCAAATATATTTATTTATTTTTGAGAGGAGGTGGCAAACGAGTCGGTTCGCCTGATGTTAAGCGATATCCACCACCTGTAGGTGTTTGCAACACCCGTGGGGTTTCAGATGCGTGGTCATCTTTCAATAAAGGGGGCTGCGAGTACGTCACTAAACAGACGAAACGCGGAAGTATAACACTTCCACTTGCCGCCGGTCTTCTGTGAGATCGTGGTGGACCTGCGCATTCGTGCAACGGCGAAGACTGTCCCGCTGGTCAGTCGAGGGGCAGCACTGGTCGCAGGAGGCTCACCTTGACGAGCAGCGAGGTGCGCGGGCCGGTGCGCCAGAGCGCGCCGCGGCGGTCCACGAAGGCGGCGTCCACGGCCACGCAGTAGAGGCCGGCCGCCGGCACGCCCACCAGCTGCTGCGCCGCGAAGAAGTCGCGCACCGGCTGCACCGTCTGCACGGCGCGCAGCACGCACGCGCCCGCCTCGCCCTGCGAAACGATCTCTTTTCGAGTTTGAACACGACTAAGTCGAAATTAAGCGCGCCCGCACAACCGCCAGTCGCATCGAAACGATCTCTTTTCGAGTTTGAACACGACTTTACTAAGTCGAAATTAAGCGCGCCCGCACAACCGCGAGTCGTATCGAAACGATCTCTTTTCGAGTTTAAACACGACTTTACTAAGTCGAAATTAAGACGCGCCGCGAAGACCTGCGCGTACCCGCACATACCACAAGTCTTCAGTGAGTCCAAATTGAGACACGTTTGGAGCTGCCCGCTAAACCGCTTAGTATAGATGGCAGCATATTCCCCAGCTCGGTGGTTCATATCAGGCTCGAAGGACCAAAACGATAAAGGGCCGGTTATGATGATATAAATGGTAATATATATTATTAGAACACTTTATTACGAAATTGTTATAGTTAAAATCACACTTGGATAATAACGTGAACTGATTGCTTGTCGCGGTATATTTTAATGCTTATTATGTATTGATGGACTTAAGGTAAAAAGTGCAAACAAAGGTGTTTGGTTCAATAGTGAACCGAAAAATTGTAATTAATTATTTGCATGCAATTAAAAACTATTTTTAATGATGCCAAAGAAGAATAACTTCTCACACGCGTACATAAGTACATGTACCAATTTTTTTTTTACATATCGATAATTTCTCTTCGATATATCGAAGTCGTTAATATCAACAATATCTTTATCTTCAAATATATAATTCTCCTGTACGTGTGTATGTCACTGAACTCGTCCTGATCGGCCCAGCCGATTATAATGCCAATTTTGTGTCCTTAGGACAATTCGAGAATGGTTTAGATTTACAATTCGACCCAATAACATTTTTTGTTAAATTTATTTGTAAGGAGTCGGATTTAAGTACATAAGGTACAGGACGTGTGCCGGGTCCACTAGTATCCACATATTTTTTCACTTTCGATATCCCTACACATCCACCTAGGTAACGCACACGCACCTTGTCGTTGGCGCGCGCGTGCGGCGTGGCCGTGACGGTGATCTGCACCGCCTTCACCTCGCGCGCCGCCCGCCCGGACCTGCAACCATTTGGCCGGTGAGGCCCTACCACCACGGCAGCCTGCTAGATCTATGGTGATAACTTGTTTTTTATGAGGTATGAGAAGGTGGCTAATGAGTTGAAGGTAAATATCGAAATAGAGAAATCTGTTAAGTGATAAAGTGGGCTTCAGCTACATCAATCGCCAGACGAAATGCAGAAGTGTACCCTTCCTACTTCTACTCTTCTGTGTGGTCGCGATACCTATCCGAATGGATTCGCCCACCCGTGCAACAGGAGAAACTGTTGGGTGGCCCTACTACAGTAAAATTACTTTTACTGTCTGTGGCGTGCGTACACAAACTTTACGCGAACAACCAGATCCAAAAATCCATAGAGTAATGAAATACGGGCCGGTAGCCAATTTAGAAGTTTTCTCCCTAAACGAAGAAAGAAAAAGTTTACAACGGAAGTTATAAGGAGGTCAATGAAGACCGAAACATTGTAAACTTTTCTCGTTCCAACTTGAGTTTTATTCCTAAACTTAGGACGAAAGGGTTTACGATGGAAGTGTTGGGGGGGTCCGAGCGAGTTGGGCACCTGGCGGGGGGCGGCAGCGCGACGCCCTCGAGGCGCAGCGCCAGGCGGTGCGCGAGCGGCAGCGGCGCCGCGTGGTCGGCGGGCGGCGCGCGCCACGCCGGCGCCAGCGAGAGCCGGCACAGCGTGGCGCCGCCCACCGCCTCGCACACGCCGCGCGGCCACGGCGCCGCGCGCACGTACGCGCGCACCGCGCTCGCCACGCCCTCCGCGTGCTGTTTCGGTGGCAAGTTGCTCATTTCAGTGCCCAATTATCGCGTGCTCGGCGGCCAAGGAAATAACAACAAAAAATATTTCGAAGATAGAAGATTTTCGGGCTCCGTACCCAAAGGGTAAAACCGAGATTCCACTCCCTGTATGTCTGTCACAAGGCCGCATCTCATAAACCGTCATAGTGCGACAGTTGACATTTTCACAGATGATGTATTTATGTTGCCACTATAACCAACAAGTCATGATGGTATATTACTAAGACACCGCTGCCTATCTGTCTGTCTCTCTCTCACCAAGCCGTATCCCATGAACCGTGATAGTTCGACAGTTGCATTTTTCACTGGTGCTGCTATAGCAACAAATACAAAAAAAAAAACATTTTTTTTGCCGTTTTTATAGATAATGGTACAGAAACCTTCGTTCGCGTAACACTTGGGATTTGAATATACGAACGAGGAGACATCCTCGCAGTGGTCCTGGAATTCCCCAAACGATTTCATTGTCCCTCGAACAAATCCTTAACCACACTTTGAAAATATGCTTTGTCTATTTATCGAATTTAAATTTCGATTCTAGGTTTTAACTAAATAAACATAAACAGTTACATTTACATACAAATGTGGTGAATAAAAAAAGCTTGTAAAATTAGATCAATTTATTAATTTGGAGACCTTTTTTTTTATGCGAAAAGTTGTCAAACGAACAGACGGTTCACCTGATGTTAAGTGAATACCACCGCCCATGGACATCTGTCACACCCGAGGGTTACAGATGCGTTGACAACCTTTTGAAAATTGGGCTCCGGCCACCTCACTCACCAGACGAAACGCGAAAGTATTTGTCATACTTCCACTTTACGCTGGTCTTCTGTGAGGTCGTGGTACTTACCCGGACGAGCCTGCCTATTCGTGCAACAGCCGAGGCTGCTGCGTGGCCCTACCACCTGGATTAGTTTTGCCGTCCCAGACCTCTGAAGGACATAATCCGAAACATAAAACGTTGTATTGTTCGCCCCTCACCTTACAAATGGATAAAAAACAGGTTAAAATAGCTTTACTTTACGGCTATAAACGAAATAAGCACTTACAGGGTGGCTTTTCTAAAGGTGCCCAAATTTACACAGACGGTTCAGACTCGGTAGTATAATCATTTATTGAAATAAAAACAAACTTTTTTTTGTTTTCAAAATAAATTGCCATTCTATTCCCTAAAAACAAAACTTTGTTGACAATGCGGTAGTCATTCATAAATGCGTCTTACATATTTGAAACGAACTTGTGTGCCGTGTTAGTTATGAATGATCGCGCGTAAAATAAATCTGTTGCCCATAAATCACGCACTTTTTGAGATAAGTTAAAATGAATGTAATTAATTAAGTAAGAGTGATTTTAAATACTTTTTATGTCTAGAATTTAATTAAAAAAAATGGATACACTTAGAAAAGCTTCCATGTATACTCCCAATTGTCTCTTCATTTTAGGACTATTATATTATCTGTCTGACGCTGTTTTTAACACATAAAATCATATTGGATGAAGCAACTATGCTTATTAATAGAATTTACAACTATTGAAGCTCAACCTTGAAATTATCTACATTGACTGATTTTTACAGTATCCTTTATGAGTACGCCCTTAGTTTAATCTGTTGTAATGTACATTCAACTTACGTCATCATTTCCTCCTTGAAGTCTTCCTACTTACCCTATGAGTGATTCCCGGCTCAGTGGTGGGGTTGTCGAACAGCTTGGCCGATATCTTGGCGAGTTCCACGGAGGGGGCCAGGGCGATCAGTTCCTCCAGGGTGGTCGCCTTGATTTCTCTGGGGAACAACTCTGCGGGCCTCTCCTGCTGGTTGGACGTGACGCGGTCCAGGAACTGGGCCAGCTGGGCGAACGTGTGCTGCGAGCTGGGTCCGCGTCAAGGTAAAACTCGTGGAGAAATGAAACGTTTATCGTGGTTTCGCTTCGGTTTTCGGTCGGTGTAAATGCGAAGGTTTAAAGTTAGTAAATCAGCGGTGACCGTTTCTTAGATGAATTTAGTAAATGGCCTCGTGTTTTTTAAACCCTGACGACGCAATTGAGGGGTGTTAAAAGTTTGATGTGTTTGTCTGATTACTATGCTGTGTTTTTGTTGCACGCCGACGTGATCGAGGAGGTTCTTGGCTGCATCTGTTTTTCGGGTCGGGGGGTTCGTTGAAATTTTTAATTTTATATTGCGTTAGATCACAGTGAGTTTTTTTTCTCAAGTCAAAATTTATTTATTCAATATTTATGGTTTCATCATCATCATCATCATTTCAGCCTGTTTGAGTCCACTGCTGAACATAGGCCTCCCCCACAGACTGCCATGAAGCACGATCGTGAGCCACCTGCATCCATCGACTTCCCGCACATTTGCACAGGTCGTCACTCCATCTAGTGGGGGGTCGTCCTACACTGCGATGGCCAGTACGAGGCTGCCACTCGAGAACCTTTCTTCCCCAACGGTTATCGGTTCTACGAGCTATATGGCCGGCCCATCGCCACTTCAGCTTGCTAATCCTCTGAGCTATATCGGTTACCTTAGTTCTACTGCGGATGTCTTCGTTACGAACTCTATCACGCAGAGAAATACCGAGCATAGCCGGTACGCTCACGCTCTTATTGAACGTCAACAACTATCACTGGCTCACTAAACAAGCAAGAAATTGCTGTTTTATATTTTTTCGAATTGTGCAAGTACACAACATTGTTTAGTTATACAGGGTGGCTTTTTTAAAGGTGCCCAAATTCACATAGGAGGTTCAGACTAGGTAGTATAATCGTTTATTGAATTAAAAAAAAAATTTTTTTTCAAAAAAAATTTTGCCATTCTATTTCCTAAAAAACAGAACTTTTTGACAATGTGGAAGTTATTCATAAATGCGTGGTATATTTTTGAAACGAACTTATGTGCGTGTTAGTTATGAATGATCGCGCGTAAAATAAATGAGTTGCCCATAAATCACGCACTTTTTGAGATAAGTTCAAATGAATGTAATTAATTAATTACAAGTGATTTTAAATGTTTATCATTTTTATATAACATTATTTATGTCTAGAATTTAATAAAAAAATGGATACATTGAGAAAAGTCTCCCTGTATAATTAGCAGAGCACGAGTGATTTCCATACGAGGTGTTCTTCGAGGTTACACCAGATACGCGACGGCAAAGGATACATGTGGAGGTGCGCGAGCGTGGAGTCGTCCGCGTGGAAGGCGGTGTGGGCGATGTGCGCGTAGCGCTGCGCCACCGCGTGGGCCGCGTGGGCCGCGCGCCGCAGCGCCGCCCCCGCCGCGCCCACCCGCGCGCCCGCCTCGCGCGCCGCCTGCAGCGCCCCGCTTACCTCACTTCCGACTCCATTGTATGCTTCCACTCCGCCCGCTCTTATGGCTAGTTGTTAGCTACTTTTCATGGGGCTTCGCTGATGTCAAGATGCGTTTGCCAACTTTTAACAGTGTGTCCCGGTTATACAGTTGCCGGTCTTCTGGAAAACCGTGCTGTTTCTTTCACCGGATCTCTATTTGTATTACGGCGGAAGCGGCTGCGCGATCGTAGGATATCAAGGATGATTCTTAACTGAAAAAGTGGCAAAAGTGCTGGCGGTTGACCTGATGTTAAGTAATAACCGGCACCCGTGGACATTTGCAGATGCGTTGCCACCTTTAAATAAGCCACTCACACCTGCGCGTACCTGCGCCACCGCGGGCGGGGGCTGCGTGCAGAGCGCGCCGGCGGCGGCGTGCGCGCGCGCTAGAGCGGCCAGCGCCAGAGCGCGCGCCTGCATCCAGGCGGCCGCCAGCGGCGTGCAGGAGCCGCAGCCGGCGCAGCCCGCCGCGCAGCCGCCGCCGCCCACGCCCGCCCCGCCGGCGCCGCCCGCGTCCCCGCACGCCTCCCACTGCCCGCTGCACTCCTCCAGGTGGCTTGTGCCTGGATGTTTTCCGTTGCGTTCACTACATGGACGATTGTGAAGCTCAAGCTAGCGCCTTTTTAACTCAAGAAAAGTAATGACATTTTAGGTCGCATGCACGCCTCGTAGAGCTGTCGAGGCAGTTCGCGTAAAATTTGACGGAAAGAGTCGGTTACTTTAACTTATTCACATAAGCTGGAATTTGAGTATGTCGTAAATAGTAAAGGTAAGAGACAGGAACCTTGAGGAACACCCGCTATAAAGGCGATCGTAGAGAGATCACGTGGAAAGAATGCCCTATAATCGACAAGGAATGGAGAGGTGCGGCAAAATGGCTCTTCAAGTTCTTTATTCTGGTCCTTGTTCCTAAGTGTCAACTCTCCCAAAGAGAGTTTGACGAAACAGTAATATGGGAATCGTCGTCGGATTTCGTACATTCTTATATGAGTAGATGAGCGATAACCACCATCCACTTGCAATATCCATAGGGTTACAACGAAGTGGGCCCCGGTCCCCTCGCCGAGCAGACGAGACGCAGAAGTAGGTCGAGAAGCGCTCACCGTGTCTCTGCAGAGCGGCGTCCGCGGCCGCGGCTCGGTGCAGCGTGGTGAGCCAGCGCTGGGCCGCCTCGCTGGCCGCCTCCTGCGCCAGCCGCTGCAGCAGCTCGGCCGCCACGGACGGGTGCCCGTACCTTTTATTATGTGAGTAAGTGGCAAACGAGCTGGCGCCTCACCTGATGTTAAGTGATAAAATCAGGTGAGGTGTCTTTTGTGAGGTCGTGGTACTGACCCAGAGGGACCTGCCCATTCGTGCAACGGTGAACACTGTTGCCTGGCCCTACCTGCACCACATTCTTTGTCATCGACGGCGACACAAACAGAACGCCTCTTCTCTAACTCTTGGAGACGACGGAGATGGAGAGTAAACAACTTCTTCTTTCTCCTGCTCTTAACCCAACTAGGTGTGGTCGACGCGACATGTGAATCATGTTATCAAGTGTATTAACTCGGTTCTTTACCACCGGATCCGGAACAATTGATGGGTTACGCAAACACTTGTCCCGTGTGACAACGGGCGCCGAAGACGATGGCTTAGCAATCACAAAGAAAACAACAACTGTGCTAAATCAGTTTTGCTGAGTTAGTCATTTTCAGCCCTGTTTTAAACAACTACAAGGTTAGTAAATTCGGATAGCTGATTATGCTCTAAACCTGTTCAGATGCTTTTGCCCAGCCCCGGAATACGTTTTGGTCCGAAATGCCTTAACGAGGGTCGCGGAGGTGGCACTTGGTAGAAATCTTCACGTAAGGGAATATCGTTGTTCTTAACTATTATGTATTATACATAATAGTTAATAATACTTAAAACTTCGTATTTGAGTCTGACTTTAAAAAAATCATTATTAGGTATGTAACACCGAAACTGGTGGTTCACATGATAACAAGTGGTCACCGCAATCTGCAAAAGTGTTGCCGTTTAAGTTAAAGTGCGAGCAGATACCTGAGCGCGGCCCTGGCCGCCCTGTAGCGCGTCCAGCCGTCGGCGCGCGAGACGGTGAGCAGCACGCGCCGCTCCCACGAGTCCTGGACGCGGAAGGCCAGCTTGGCGGCGGCGCGCTCCTGGAACAGCACCGTGCACACCAGCACCAGAGTGGTGCCGTTGTTCGAGCCCTCCTCCGGCAGCATGGCCCTGCGAGAGTAGGGCTCGCGTCAAAGGTCGTAATGTTGTTTGCGGACAAGGAAAAGGATGGAAATACGATACTATTGTTCAGCCTGCAAAATCTAATGTTACGCTCGATATAACAGACTAAAAAAAAGAAATATACTAAAAAAAAGTAAAGTTCTGAAGGTTAAATAATCGAGTTACAGAAGAGACGCGAAGGGAAAGAGAGGATTATGAGCAGTCATGGACACAACTGCAATGCAACGAGAGAAGCATGTGATGTATGTGTGTGTGTACTGTGTGTGTGTAATGTGTGTTCCATACAGGTAGCCGGTGCCGCTGCTGGGCCTGGCTAATAGCCAACTACCGGCTGACCATTGTCAGCTCGAGACTCGCCCGAGCAATGGGGATATAGCCCCGAGGCTCGAAGCCGGACAGGCCGTAGACCTGCAACTCCATCGGCATCACGTACCCGGTGTCCGCGAAGGTCCTGAGCAGGGCGGGCAGGGCGGGCGCCAGGCGGCGCGTGCAGGCCGCCGAGCCGCCCAGCGCCGCCAGCGCCTCCAGTAGGGCGGCGGTGCGCTGGGGATCGGCCGCCCCGCCCGCCCCGCCCAGCTGGCCCCCCACCGTGGCCGCCGTGCGCTCAGCGTACAGGCTCGGCTCGACTCTGCTCAGCTGCACCTGAGCGACGCGCGTCTCAATTGCTTTCCGATTCTGACCGATTATAAGGCTTCGTGTTGCTTCTATGAAACGAGTCATGGAAGGAATAGGGCGGGAGATAGCACGCAGCCTTGTGGGACACCAGCATTCATCAGGGCTACTAACATTGGTGCTCAATTTATGTTTGCGATTAATTTGCATAATTTCTGAGGAAGCGAAGAGATTTTGAAAGAAACGGATTGTGCCAAATGCAATGGTAAGGCTTTCGTAGTGACCAAAATAATCGCCAAGGTCTCTTGAGTAATGTAATAAAATAGTAAGACCGGAATATATCGAAAATCTCCGAAGGGCAGGAAACTTTATCTTTTTTAGGAAACTAATCTTTTTTGAGGGATATAGAGGCAAATTCCTTTTCAAAGTACAATAAAAGATGTATCAGCGGAAGAAATCCGAGTCTCGGTAAGAAAAAGTAAGGCCAGCTTTAACGTCTAAAGTAATAGTCATTCGTCATTAAGATTAGCGTGCAGTACCCTGATGTTCATCAAGTATCACAAAAGTCTGACAAGTTATGAATTATCCATCAATTGCATTCAGCCAGTAAGAAGCTCAGATTTATTATATTTAGAATTAAACAGCTTAATGATTGATGTATATATAATGATGTATATAAAACAGGAATAATAGTACCTTCGTCCTAACGATTTAGTTAATTCCAAATTTAAATTAACATTAGGTCCTGTAAAATGGAAAATGTAATGTAAAGCTTAAATCATATAAAATAATAACTTGTAGATCTTTGTAATTGGCAACTTACTAGGCAACGCAAGGCGATACGCAGAGGCTTTATGTGACCGGGCACTTGGCCTGTGGCAATGACCAGGGACTCCAGGGCTAGCATCAAATCGGCACCCTCCACTGGGAGACTCTCTTCGTAGCTGTGAACGATTTCGGCTACTGTTAGCAAGCTTTCTGCTTGTATTTTACAAGCATCATTTACACGACTGCGATAGAAGGAGGGTTATGTTTTTCAAGAATATGTATGTATGTATAATTGTTTGGCACACTGTGCAGCCTGAACGGCTTGATGGATTTTAGCTTGAGAGGTGTCGTTAGATTCGTATTTACTGTGAGAGTGACACTGGGTATATCAAAATAAAAAATTCACAGACGGGTTTTTAGTTTTTTAAATTATTTTTGTTTTGTATTAACAATTTATTTAAGAGAATTAAAAAAGTCCTCTGAAAGCTGTTATGCTACGGTTTAAATAGAATTGCATACCATTATTGTAATTTTAGCACTGTAGAATAGATGGCATTTTTTTAAGTATGAAAATAATTAATAATTTTAAAGATGAGGCAATTTAATTAGTCCCCTATTATCATACATTCTGCAATGTAAGGGGTAAGGGTACGGGCGCACCAGTGCACTACGATGCGCGTGAGCACGTCCGCGGCGGTGGCGGCGTGGCGCAGGTCGGCGCCGAGCGTGGCGTCGAAGCAGTAGCGGCGCAGCGCCCCGCCAAGCCCCTCCGCGCACACCGCCGCACACCGCACCAGCATCTGCGGCGGCGGACCCCCATATACATAGCACCACCGTAATAAGCCTCTCCTCACAATTATACAGTTATAGATTAACAACTATTAATCCATGGTATACCTGCATAACTTGTAAGCAGAGCATTGTGTGCTCAGCATCCCGATTGTCACTTGCTGCCTGCACTAATTTCTGGATACACTCCGCCGGCCACAGAGCTGCATGTTCCGCCAACTTTTTCAGGCCGAGGAGTGCAGCCCTTCTAACAGCCGAACGGGCGTCCTTCATTGCTATACTTAGAAGTAGTTCAACCTTAAAATAAGAAAATAATTTCAAAATAAAATAAATTAAGAAAAAATATATGTATTCATTTCAAAACAAACTCAATGACAAAACAGAACCTATAATAATAAAACACAAAACAGGTTTTTTGCTCCCTTTAGGTTTATATTGTATACATGGTTACAGCCTGATACTTAAATTCTGCATTGAAAATAAGTCTCATAATATACAACACTTACTTACCTATTTGTTTAATTTTGAACAAATTCTAATTTAGGATACTAATATTATCTAATTAATCTTATCAAGCGCTCTGAAATGATGTAACTCTATTAAACAGTAGAAGGTCCACTGTTAACCTAGCACTGGGGTATGAAGTGTAATATAGTTCGCATTTCATATTTTGAGTGAAGTAATCAGGAACCACTCTTTTAATGGTTGCCAATGCATCTGCAACCCACTGTTGAAGATGTGCATGGGTTTTTAATCTGGTGATCATTTTTTATCAGGTGAACAGCCGGCTCACTTGCCAACTTTTCACATAAAAAAAGTCTTCAATTGAGCTTGAAATGCATATTTAATAAATTTGACTTAAAGTGAAAAGGAAAAAAATGGGTGCGTGTTCTTATGTACGCGAGTGAGAAGTTATACTTCTTTGGCATCATTAAAAAATAGTTTTTATTTACATGCAAATAATTAATAACATAAAATAATAAAAAGACTGGGAAGGATATAAATAATAAAATTATGTAAACGCCTTCAACATTCTATTTTGAAAACTGTAATGGGCGAATGTGATCGAGAATAAGCGGTTTAGCAGGCAACTTCGAATATGTGACTTTAGTTTTACAGTGATGCTCACGCATCTTAAAATTTCACTCTCATAATTTTTTCATAACGCGCTTAAAGAAATACAACTTAAAAAAAAAACCTTATAAACTAATGTGTATACAATATTACCTGATCAGGTACATGCACCACAGTATCTGCAGCAATTGCAGTCAGTGCCGTGATAGCTGCCCTAACTGAACTTGAAGAGGGAAATTTCTCGAGCAAAGAGTGCAATAATTTCAAGACCCCTTGGGCTCTCACAGCTGCAAATGAAACCATTAAAAAACTTTTTATAATATATAATCATATTTATGAATATATTTTTAGATTTGGTATAGATTTTTAGACCTAAGAATGCAGTTATTACACAAATAAACACTCAGACCTGTCACACAGATAATTATTTCATTAATTTATGCACTAAAAACAAGTAAAACAAAGCAAGTAAAATGCTTTCTCACCTCCCCCATGAACTGTTCTAAGAGCCCTAACAAGTTTTGCTCTCCTCTCTGCTGCTGTACTCTCACATTCCACCATATCGGATAACTTGTTGCACATTGCCACAGCAAATGAACTTGATGAAAAAGAAAAGTTTATTTTTTAACATATTACACAATTAATAATGAGAAATTCAAAAAGCAAATAAAACCTACTTAGAATGAGCAGCAAATCTGGTAGTGGCATAAATTGCAGCATCAACTTCCACATTGTCATGGCTCTCCAATCCTCTCCGTATCGCGTGATGCACATTTTGTCTTTCTGGTATAATTCCTGCCACTGCACCTAGAGTCCGAAGGGCTAGTGCTCTCGCCACTGGATCGTTAGAATGTAGAACGCTGAAAACTCTTCGAAGGAACTCATCAACATTTAAAATTTTGTCTAAATGTTTCTCGCTTTGCTGGCAGACACGTAGAACCCACAATCTTAAGAAATTATTGCCCATTCTAAAGACATCGGCCAATTTCAGAAAGGACGAGTTAATTAGGATAGGAAATGGATATTTTTCGAACAGTCGAGGGAAACGGACGATTGCTTCACATTGTTCACCAACTTTTCCAGATCTTAGACCTGAAAATTAATATTTATGTTGAATTTTTTTTTAATAAATTTACTTACAAACTTATGTATTAAATATTTATGTAAACTTCGACATTTTATAAGAACGCGCAAGCGCGAATAAATATGTTTTGAATTTTGAAGTTATCAACAAGTTTCATTTTTTAAAAACATATAAGGTTAGGTATTTTCAAATACCTTTGTCTAATTCTGTTAAAGCTGAATTAGCATCTTGTTCAGGTTCTCCAGAATTGTCATTAAAGGTGTTTGATCGTGTACCAATCATTTTATAGCTCGTTCTAGACAAAATTAATTATAATAATACAACTTATACTTAAACAACAACAAACTACCTCAACAAGATTTTGACACTAACAAAAGAAATTGACAGACATTTGTCAGTAAGCCACAGGGTTGAATTTAGGTGCGGTAAAAAAGCATTGGCGTATCTAGAATTATTTTTCAGGGTGGGCCTGGGCATTTACTACAAAAAAAAATCAAACACTATGCGTCGCATTAAAAAAGTAATGAAGTTCGTTATCGTTAATAATTTTTATTAATTTGTAACAGTAGTATTAATTAATTAGTAGTTAGTACGTTGTGTATTCACAAGTAAATAAACGGAATGTGTTGTAGATTAGTATGTAATAAAAACTAAATATGTGGTACATAGAATTCTCGGCTTTAGATAATTATTTGATTTCAGTGATTTTTTATGAAGTTCCCAAAATCCTGGGGTGGGCACTAGACGATACTGGGGTGGGCATGGCCCACCCGGCCCCCCTGCTATATACGCCTATGTAAAAAAGATAGAAAAGGATAGTATTTGATAAAAAAAATATAGTACAATATTATTTTATTAATTAAAGACACAAAAAAAAAAAATTTTACTCAAAAACTCGCAGAAAATTGTTATCACTTTGAATTTTGAATATGAATAGAACGGCCGTACCATAAAAATAATAAACTAATCGTATTATAACTTAGGGCGTAAGAATTTAAAATATACACACAAAGCACATAAGCCTTGGTCTGATTTCCACCCAAGCAGCACAGCACTATTAAATTATATTTTTCTTTTTGTGTAGTTTTATTTTTTTACAAAAATATGAATAAAATTTAACGAATAAAAATATTCACAAAAAATTTACCTCCTAAAAAATTTCCATTTATATTTTTCTTCCTTAATTTAGGCAGAAAATTCTTAAGTAGTAAGTTGGCATTCCTTACTATTACGTGCTAGGTACCAATGCAATCCAGCTCAAGGCTAAACAAAATTTAAAGACATCGTTAATACCGTAATTCGTATTTAAATGCAACTAAAAATGTTTTTTTCCATGCTGTTAAGATTCAAAATTACTTAACTGCGCGCTTTGTCGCCCGTTACGGCTCAAGGCAACAAAACAATAAAAATATACTTAATAATATCGTAGTAATCGTTGATACCATGATTAGTATTTAATTGAAACGGATCTTATGAGCATGGTTTTAAGATTCAAAATTACTTAACTTATTCATAATATCTGTTTAAAAATCTGATATTGTGCCTTGCTTGCCGTACTGCTCTAACCAGTGTAATATTTGTATGTCACGCGCTTTGTCGCTCAAAATCTGTTTAAAAATCTGATATCGTGCATTGCTTGCCGTCCCGCTCTAACTAGTGAGTATTTATATCTCACGCGCTTTGTCGCTCGATATCTGATATCGTGCATTGCTTGCCGTCCCGCTCTAACTAGTGAGTATTTATATCTCACGCGCTTTATCGCTCGATATCTGATATCGTACATTGCTTGCCGTCCCGCTCTAACTAGTGAGTATTGCTTGCCGTCCCGCTCTAACTAGTGGCAACCGCTATTAGATATCACGCGTATTTGTATTTATATCTCACGCGCTTTGTCTCGATATCTGATATCGTACATTGCTTGCCGTCCCGCTCTAACTAGTGAGTATTTGTATCTCACGCGCATTTTGTCTCTCGAAATCTCACGCGATGTTTAAAAATCAGATATTGTGGCAAACGCGTATGATATCGCGATTCGTGTCGGTATAGCGAGCGAGCACGTTCATCAGATTTCGGAAATATCAGATATTGTAAAATACATAGATATTGAACGAGCCAGTAAGCGATATTCGGATATTGTACTAATATCTAGTTTTCATATCTGATACGATTTGTATCGCCCACTTCTAATTTACATTTTCCAAAACAAACAATTTTAGAACACTTACGTATAAAACTGTAACGTAAAGTTCATTTGTAAAGGTCACAAAGCATATGAATGGGTTGAGTGAATTTAAAAGAGACAAAACATACTGTTAGAAGGAGAGTCTTGTAATGCGACGCTGTGGCGCGAGTTGTATAGGTGTTACAAATTTTGTGTTTTACTTAATTAGTTTGTTTGAAAAAAATTTTTTTTAAATTATGGATTTTGTTTAACGTTAATATTTTTTTATGATTATTGGCAAGTAGCGTTAGACGTGTGTTCATTTATTGTCGCGATGGTAACGACACGCTGTCTATTACGAAGCTTGAAATTATAGTACAAATACTATATATAATTTTAGTACAAAATCCTACCCTGGTAAGCCAGACCAGAACCGGTGAGTCGTAATATTACAAGCAGTTTTAATAAACTGCCTTTTAACATCTTCCACGCGAACCAGTTTACGATTTACGAGTGACGACAGTATAACGTGAATATATATGGGCAATATATATGGTGAATATATATTATTTTTTGTCACAGGTTTTGTTACATAGTCCGTCATTAATATAATTTTAATTTACCTAACATCTTGTTTATTAACATCTTGTTCATAGTTGTTTAAAGTGAAATGAAAAGGGTTATTTGGGTGAAACAAAATAAATACAAAACAATTAAATATAAGAAAAGTGTTGCAAGAATCTGCAGCTGGTTGGCATTTAATTTTGTAGTATTGATTTCCTATTGTTAATTTTAAACATTTTTCCTTTTTTAGTGTTCACTTTCATATATAAATTATATAAGAATAATTTTACTAACTTTACTTTGGAAGGTGTAGGGCAAAGAATATAATACTTACTCTCTATAGAGAGTAGGGAGAACAGGCTCCTATGGGGAATTTCATCAAATTAAGTATAGCGGCATCTGGTTACAAACGACTTTAACTTTTAGATTTTAAAGCATTGTAAGAGTGGATCGATAGATAGCGTATTTTTGTTGTGTACAAGGTTCTGCTTATATTTTAACATCATTTTTTTTTCTTAATTATGGCTCGGTACCATCCGTGCATTGGGCCAGTGTCAAGTAACATCATATTTACATAATTAGGCAAAACGCATATTATTTAAACTTAAACCTACTATAACAGATATAATTGATTTGTTCGATAAAAAGTAAAATTTTACATTTTATATTAAATAACAATTAAAATGATACAAAGAAGACATTTACTATAAGTTTAGATTGCTTAAAAACAATCATATACAAGTAATGTAATTTATTACTTTTAACACATTAGGAATTAAGATAATTTTTCCTTAGGTAGTATCGATGTTTGATAAATAATTGAATTAAAAGAGATGGCGCTGTAGTCCCCAATCTTAATTTTCCATAAACTATCGTAACTGGAGGTGTATTCCAGTAAATTCCAGTAAACGTTCCAGTAAATAATTCCAGTAAACGGAGTGGTTACATTCTCTCTGGTGTATTCGTACAATATGCAATACCATAGATTCAAAAATTAAAACATTACAAAATATAGTTTTTTCAGACTTTAAGTTTTGTTTTGGGGTACGTAGACTTAAATAATTTGTTTTCTTAGATCGTATCATAAAAGTGGAGTAAAAGTATTTAGGATCTCTCAAACCTGTCATATTAGCGTATGCACAAATATGCACAACATAACATTATTCTATTTAATATGACCGTATGAGTAAAGCGAAGACTCTTTTGGGCGAAGTTTTTAAATTGTTAACCAAATATTGTGCCTCCAAAAGGAATCAGGTAACAATTTTTGTTTCTTTTAATTGGAAAAAAAGCAAAATCGTGCAGGCTTAATATGATGTTTGTTATAAACAATTCAATATTTTATATCGCCATATTTTCATTGAGAGCCGCACGCAGACTTGTAGCACTAAATTATTTCACCTGTATAATAAAATAAGTTTAGTGTAAGTAAGTGTAAATAAAATAAGTGATCACAATGCTAATTCAGCACCATACATTCAGTAGAAACAGGATGGGTAATTTTATTTTTTATTTTTTCTATGCCATTCGAATAAGAAGATATACAAACACTAGGAAGTGCTTCAAAGTGAAGTATGATCGGGTTAATATCTTCTGTTTCTATAACATACAAGTTCTAATGAAAGAAACATAATCGTAAAGCCAGCAAACTGATATGACGGATAACAAGCGTGGAATTCCATGCAATTACTGACTGGCTGCCTCGCCCGATGCGACATTGGCACCCAGAAATTAGCGCAGCGCAGAAATGAAGCATCAGACGAGAGAGGTGCGGTGTTTAGTCTCAACTCCCGGCTCAGCTCTCAAAGCGGCGTAATTACAGTCACCTGTGAAATTGTAGCCGCGCGCGCCGCCATTACGGTGTACGGTGGCGGCTCGAAATGGCGCCTTGTCATTTTGACAGATCGCTCGTCTAATGACAGAGTCGCGTTGCTTTGACGATTTTGATTAGGATTTGGCTGGTTTTCCGTTCGGGTATAACACACCAATGAAAAGGGTCATCGCACCGAGGACATGGGGAGTTTCTAGTTCGCATTTTGCATTTCATCGTTTAAACTTTATAATGATTTTATTTGAATGAGTATACACACATTCAAATAAAATCATTATAAAGTTAAATAGCAATACAATGCGGTTATCCATTAATTGGAGACAATCTCAATCTCCTAAGTACTAATTAGTTTTGTGATTTACTATTTTTTTACGCGTTGTTTGTAAATGCTTTGACTTTTCAAAGGAATTGTATCCTAATATATATGTAAGAAATATTAAAACCATTTTTCTAAGTGTGCACTCAAGCAGAGAGTGATTAAGTTCTAATTTTGTTCATTTAGTAACTGCATAGCAAACACCGATTTAACGAAATGTTTTTTGATAACTCCGTGGCGCAGTTGCCAAGGTATAGGCTTCGGCGTCGGGGGTCGTAGTTTCGATTCCCTCACGGGGACACGGGACCATCATTTGTGTGAGCCACAGACAGTTGTTTCGCATCTGCTTGTCCACGTGAAATTTATTTTTGTAAAACGTCCTTACAACACAGGAAAATGTTATCCTAAAGTGAGAGCATTTTCATTTTTTTTTATAAAATATTATAAAAAAAATGAAAATAATTATTGACTCAACTCAAAATATCCGTATTCAAATACGTTTGCGGGTTCTTATGGAACGTTGAATGTTACATAAAAGGTGATACATAATTACATAAGTTCGTAAATAAGTTACCTACTTCACATCTATCTTTGAATTCTATGTTTATAATGTACACGGTGTACCCAGTTTACGTTCCTCGTCCATAATGAAATTACGTTAAGGTAGCACACGACACTGGGCGATATATAGATAGTGTAGAATTTTAACGACAACATTAATATTTCGCGAGATAACCTAAATTGCCTCTGCTGTCTTGACTTGCAGAACGAACTCGTACAGTTTTGCGGAAATTTAAGATTCAACAAAAAATCTTTTAGTTTAACACTCGCATTTTAACGAAATATTTAAGTAGTGATTAATATATAAATTTATAATTTAAACTATAGGTACATAGAATAACCTCTGTACGGTAGAGCTCTTTGCCCAACTGTGGACTAATATTATTGAAGTTAAAAGTTTTTTAGGCGCGTTACGAAAACACGAAAGTCACACCTTTGATGCTGCCCGCTAAACCGCTTTATATATATTGTTATTATTGCGTACTACATACTTTTTCTAAAGCATGCAGACCTGAAATTAGTATTACTATATATTCTAGTACGGTTGGCAACCAAGTTGAGAGTTTTACGTTGTGTTGATGCGATAGAAAAGTTCGGTGGGATGTAAGATACCAGAAATTTGCTTAAATCTGAAAAATGTTTTTTTATTAGACGCCAGAAGTAGCCTTTTAGAATTTCGATAGAAAACTGCGAAGATTTTGGCCATGTTTTTAACTAAGCAGATCAGTTGCCGTGTATTTTTTTTAGATTTATCACAACTTAGATAGTAAAAAATGGAAAAATTTGCGCACAATCTGTGCAATCATAAGCCCTTCCGGTTTGGAACAAAGGCATTGTTTTGGTTAACTTGTAAAATATTGTAAAGAGGTATTTACGTGACAAAATACGCAAGTAATCAATACCGGACATGGCTGCTATTAAATCTCGGTTTAAACAGCCTAATAACCTACATTTCACAATGCATCTTTCGTGGAAATGTCCTGTTGGTCGACCCGATCGCATTTCAATACGAAAATGTTGATAACGCTCTTATTTTTAGGACAACAAGTTGGAATTTTAAATAACAAGTTTCCATTAGCACGTAAAAGTAAGTTTGGTTTAGAATCGAGCTCCCGAACGCTTCCATTCAGCACACGAGAATTGTTCGTAGGATTTAAAGTTATTATCTGTATTCAGTTTTTTTGGGGGCAAAGGATTAGTCGACTAATGAGGATAAGATCCAGGCAAGGGCCGTGAATCAGCAACAGTAGCCAACCTTCTTTGTTATCAGCAAATAATTCGTCTTAAGGTTGCATGAAATATTTAAATGTGCATTTTCATTCTTGCTACTGCCACCGTCGATATTTTGTTATCATCGTGAGATAAACGCTAAGTGAGTATTTTTTTATATTTAGAGTTTTTTTTCTTTGGTTACATAATGTTGCCGAGACTCATTTTATGTTCTTGAGAATATAAATATGTATTACATTGAAAACTATAGTAAGTAGACAGCTGAAGACCGACGTGTTGTATTTAACAACGCGCGACAATGCTGAGTCTATTTTATGAAGAATTGTTTTTGCTTAAATATAAGTAAAATTTTGCTTTTAATGATTTCGAAATAGTTTAGGCCCGATGATAGTTTTTTGTCTGCATAAATATACGGTTGATGTTTCGACACAAAAAAGTCCTTATGTATTCGGAAAGCTTGATATAATGGGTGCGATCATAACCGCAGAGTATCTCGCAAATATTTGTGCTCAGCAATCATCGAGCCGATTTTCGACTAATCCTTGTGTGAGGTGACACGTCTAGTGATGTGCTTGCTTGAGTTTATTAGACAGAGGGATTTGTCTTTGTTTGGTGGTTATTTTGATTTAATTTTAATGTCAGTTCATTGCAAACCTAAGTAATCATGATTAAGAACTGTAATAATACTTGTGAAAATTTAGAATAGACTTACCATATAGTCGTAATACAAAATGTATTGTTTTTCAATACTATATATTTTCGGTAGAGTAAGAGTTGTAACTAAATAATTTCATAATAATAACGTGCTATGTATGCGTGTTAAATTTAGAATGGTTGTTAATATAATAAATAATTAAAACTATTTAACTTAAATAATTTAAACACCAACGTTGCACATCACTCGAACAATAATTTTGAGACTAACCAAACTGTAACAAAGCAACGTTACAAAAAAAACTTATTGAAATCCACACACGGAACCCCTACAATGAGGCATCTACAATGTGATTCTGCTCTTTATTTATTTACTCTGTATAATACGCAGATAATAAATGATGTTACTTTTTTAAAGCAACCGGTGGTGGTGTCAAAGTTAACGCAGATCCTATCGTAGGGTTGCCATAAGTTATAGGGATATTCCCGTTAATAGCTGGTGCAAGTCATGCTTATAGTAAGTATTGATTTGAATTTCACTTCAAATGTTTACTGCTTTGAGAAACATTACGGGCTTAGTTTGACACTTTAAACAAATTTATCAGAGTACCTGCAAGATTATTTTTGTTAATTATTAAAAATTTTCCCAAAAATTAAATAATAATGCAACCTTAATAACGAAACTCAGTTTATATATATTTCGTCTTATAGTATTATACTGATAGGAAGATAAATGACTATTTTATCATTTATCTTCCTATCAGTATAATACTATTTCACTTGAACTTTTGAGCCAGACACCATATACCGTGGACAGCTATCATAAGGTGGGGATTATTCGAAGATATCGATCTGTTGATCTACATTGTACCCGCGCCTCACCACCAAAATGGCCGCCGCGGCAATTGTCAGGCGCAGGCGACGCGACACAAAGGAGATTAGTTTACGATGTTTTGATTGCACCAGTGGGCTTTCGAACAATGACGGAAAGGTGTGATATCTAAGAAGAGAGGCAAGCTGCCTTCTTGCTGGTTCGGACAGCCATAAACACTCTTAAGCTCAACGCTGTAAGGTTCCGACGCTGTCCGCGGGAAGTAAACGTGTGTTGGCAATACGCATTACGTATACCGAGATAAACCGTGTTCCGAAATTGTCCGGGCGTGTATTAACGGCTCAACACGTTTTAAAGTATTTGCTTGAGACATCAGCCATCCGGATGGCAATCGTCAACACCTTGAGTGCGCACCGATCGTAGATAAGGCATGGAATACAGAAAATGTGGGAATAAGCGTCTTATAGCTATCCAAATAATTATTTTAAGAGAGACAGAGTGGTTCTTTGATGAACGTATTCTATTTATTCTCGTAATCGTGTAGCCTAGACTTTCTAATGATAGTTCAAACGAGAGCTAGCTTTGTCTCGGTAAAAAACACTTGACGGATGTACTTTACACCGTGTTATAATTTACACTTTACATTACACTATCGGACGATCTCTACGTTATGGAGCGTTGGGCAGGCCGGCTACAATTGTGGCGCATTTCAACAACAATAATTAAATATCGTTTCTTCTCTCGCTGTTTTACTTAAATAAACATGAGGTTACATCGGGGGAGATAGAGGCGTTCTATAAAGAGTAAGTGAATTTTTTTTAACAAGTATTGGAATGGACGAGTGAGATCACTCTTAGGGAACGTTTTGTCCTTCTTTTAATGAAATATGGATATAGATTTATGTTATATGTATTCTATTAAGTTAGCAACCTGAACAATAAATACTCTTTTTAATAGCTGTACTTCTACACAGATGGAATAATAATTAGGATTGAGTGGATTTTATTATACTGTCATTTGGATATTTAAGGTATATTTTGACTATAATTATTTGAAGTTGATATGAAAAGAAAAAACGGTGCAAAGAATGATTTTATTATAAAATTAATTGGGCCTATTGACATATTGTTCTGTTTTACAAGCAAACGGGAATTAAAATTGATATAAATATAAAGTTGTCTAAGGAATTTGGAAAGCTATAGTAGCACAGTCCACAGATAAAATAATACGGTAAATAATAGAGAGATGACATTTTGTATCAACTCTAAATTCGCGTGTCGATACAAAGTTTTCTTTACAAAGTTCAAGTTTTCAATAAACAAAGTTCAGCGAGCGATTCTTAATTTTACGGACAAAATGCATCACGAACACAATAAGAAACCGAAGACGTGGTCGCATATAATTGGGGGATTTTTCGTGCTTTTGTGCGCGCGTTAGTCGCGTTTCTAGATAGCGGCGCGCGATGGTATCGGCGCGTCAGCCGTCGGCAAGCCGACACCGCTGGCTGCCGATGTTCACCCACAAAAACGCCCGTCTGGTGCAATTATAAGATCGCCATTGCTTCTTTTTTATACACACATGTCGTAAAGCTTCTCGTGGTTAGACAGATATAAGTTATGATGTTCATATTTCGAAATAAAAATAATTAAAAATGGCTGCATGGCGACTGTCTTTGTCGCTTCTATCATGTGAATTGCTCTGCTAGTAATGGGAGTTGTGATAAAAGATTACTTTTAAAAATATAAAAATAGTCTAGTTTAATCAGATATAAGATAATTTTTCATCAGTAAAAATATGATAGGAGGATATGATTACAAGATATGGTATATGGTAGATATGACCCTAGTGAACCGAAATCGAGGCACTCAAAGCACACTAATTGGTGTAATTATATTGCAACTCTATAAAATGCTATCTCATTCTCATTCCGTATCATACGTTCTATATCATCAGTCACATGCACTTACATGTGTCATATAAAGTATGGGCATGCGTTATTGTATTATTAAACATAATTTGGATGCTACTGGTTATTAAAAATTACATTAAAAAATAAGCAGTCATGGGGACTATCCATAGTAGTGAAAACTAAAAACTGAAATAACAGTTAACTATTCAATACATACAAACAATCAAATCTTTCCTCTTTATATAATAGTATAGACATATTTTAAAATCAATGACAAAACAAGTGACCAACGTTCATGGAGTTTTCATTTCAGAAGAATAATTACTTTAAAAAACTTTTAAGTTAAACGATTTTATTTTATGTTTTTCTTTTGGTTAAATTTTTTTTGTTAATATTGTATTGTCATCTAAATTAAATGTGTATACCAAATTTCAGATCAATCTGACAACGGCAAGGTGCTTAAATTTCAATTTATAATTTTGACCCAAATAAATAAACAAACAAATTCCGTACGGGTCGAGCTAAATAAAACCGTTTAAAAAGAAAGAAAAACAAAATAGTTTCAAATATTCAATAACATTTAAAATAAATTTTCTTTTCAGTATGTATAAAAATCAATATTCATTGTCCCGTGTTATGAACAATATCAGTAGAAAATAAAGATATTATGTCTCTAGGTAGTTATATAAATTAGTAGGTGTTTTTTCCCCGTTTTTTATAGACAAAGTTAATTTTAATCTAATCCAGACATTTAATTTTTTTCAACGAAATAGTTGAAATAACAAATGATCCAAGTAATTTATTATTTAAAGTTTTCTGTACTTATCATATTGTTTTGGCCACAACGGAATATCTCTATATATTAATATCTCAGTTGAGATAAAGGTATACATTAATTATAAATCGCTTTTGATATAATATAGGCATGTATATTGCAACCAGTATGTAGTATGGACATAACGTAATAATTTAACCGTAATTGAAATTGAACATACCCATTTGTCCCCTCTACATAAGCATCGTGAACGACCATTTTGATAATTCAATTTATTAGCAGTTGCATATGTCCCCTGCAGTTCCCCGCGGGGAGTGTTGCCCGGTGTGATGTCATTACTGTAACATGACTTCTACCCACCAGTGTTGCCAGTCACAATGGGCGATCGTATGACCGTGTAAAATGGGGGCTTTAACAAAAAGGAAAATGTTATTTCTGTAATATAGAGTTATAAAAATGACTTACTATTTTTAACTGTAATCAAATAATCAAAAACTAATAGAAACAAATTTCGTGCGTTCTTCATAATCATGTCAGTCTGGAATAGACTGAACGTAGGCCATCCCCACGTGCGTTAATAGAATTAATTATATGGATTAATTAATTTGTAATGATTTACCTTTTTAAAAAGCGGCAGGCAGGCAGACAGCCTATCCGAATAGATAGGCTCTGTCTTTTTAAACGACTTCAAGAGATGAAAATGAATGATTTTTATGACTCCTGAAAATCAATTGTAAAATGAATATTTTTAGATATTTGAGCAAGATGTTTTTCGTTATTAAAAAAATGATTATTTTGTTCCCGTCAGTGACACGAATATTATTGCCGCCATTTCCACGGCCGGAAATTGCGCGCCCCAACCGCCTAGTCACGGCCGTCGGCGACATCTCGCCACCATGCGATCCCATTGTGACACCTCTCATTGTGCGAGGCGTAATTATGTAGCCATGTAATGTATTCAAAGCGGGTGGGGTTGCCACGTCGTGCCGTGACCATACAAAGCTCGGGGTGTGAACCCAACGAGATATTTCGTCGCCTATTGTTAAGGTTTTCGTCAAAGTAATTGAGATTGTCGCTTATGTAACCGTCCGCCAGATTTTTATTTTCGGCATATATAACATCTGAAGAACTAACGCTGATTGAGTTGGCTATCATTTGAAATGACGGCAAATTTTGTAGTTGTGAGTTTGTAAGAATCTCTCTCAACTAAACTGGTTGAATATTTCCCAACGGAGGAATCTTCGGATCCTCTGTACGCTTTATAGTATCATTAACGATCCTTTTGCCCCAGCGTATCTGAAGTCTAAATTTCAGTACCTGGGTACCTCTCATTGCTGCAATCTTCGATCTGCTGCTAATCTTACGTTGCTTATTCCTTCTCACAGTACCGGTTTTCTCTCTAAATCCTTCGCTGTTACAGCTGCTCGACTCTGGAACGCCCTTCCTAGTGAAATTCGAAAATCACCGAATAAATTTATTTTTAAAGCTAAAGTTAAGGAATATTTTAATTCGTCTTATGATCAGTAGTATGGATAACGTTTGATAGATATTTCCGTTTTATGTACGTATATATATATTTACCTATTATAATATTTATTGTTGTAAGTGTTTAATAATTGTTATCATAATGTATGTATACATATTATATAATCCTTATATAGCTAGCACCTACACTTCTCTTTCACTAACTTTCCGGTTGGCTGGTAGAAAACGCCTTATGGCATTAAGCCCGCCGTTTGTACCAGTTAGTACAAAAAAGTGTGTAAATAAATAAATAAATAAATAATGAAAAAAAGGTTATTAAAAATACAAAACACCGACGAATGGTGGAAATGTCGTTTTCGTTTTTTGTTTTTTATTTTATTTATAAAGCTTCGCTAGGTAAATTGGTAGAGGCTCTAAAATAGTTTCTCTAGTTTTTCTAAGTTGCCAAACATAATAAAAAATTATCATATTTCATATATATTAACGGGTATTGTTTTTGGAATGATTATTGTCTTTTATGGTCATAGAGCGATCCATATTATTTATACGATTTCATATCGGGAATATATTATTTAATGCACAACTGTCAGTTAACAACACGGTAGCCGGTAACTGGAGCCCTGGATTAAACCGGTTTCATCCGGAATTATCCGCTAATGGCCGGTAATTGGGCGGAATAACCACATTAACCCACATGGTAACACGAAACTCCCGCCGAGCGCCAACTATCGGAGTCCATTTACATTGTACATTAATTAAATTAATTATTTAATTTAACTAAGCTAAACTGGGCGGGCGGGTATTTAGTTTTCTCGAACGATATTTGAATAACAGAATTAGGAGATAAACTATTCTTATTCTTACGCTAGCGTAGCATTTTATTTATGATCGTAAGTTCAGGACTCCAATATGAAATTGTTGTATATCAGTTATATTTATTAACACAAAATGAATAATTAAGTCGAATTACAGTTTTCCGTAATTTAGAAGTAATACTAACCTAAAACAACTACGTGCATATTACTACAATATACTAAAAACAACGAAACAAAAACTATTACTTTTCACTCTAAAATGTAGGTATAACAAAAAGAATCAATGTGACACAATCAATTTATGCGTTATTTCGGGCTACATTCACCGCCTGCAATGATAAATTTGGTTGAAATATAAATGATAAACTTGTACAAATTTCAGACAGCATATATGTACTTTATTCACGCTCCTGGATCTCTATCATTTATCCGATTGGCTTGTTATGAAAACGCTTGCTGGTGACACACGGGCCATGGTGGTGTTACAATGGGTTTGGGGCCGATTATGGAGGCGTCGGGCCGTGTGCTGATAATGGCCAGACAACGGGCGATCCGCTTAGCTCGGGCGGAGCGGATGACGCCGGATCCCGCCGCGTCCAGGTGTGGTGGCGTGTGGCGCGAGTCACAAGCGAGTGTGTCCCTGCACACTGTGGATATTCAAGGCGTTATTGTTTATATGCAAATAATATTACCGTTATATATTATAATTATACATAATTTTATATCATTTGTACATTACTTATTATCGAGGAAGTTCGCAGTACGCTACGTTATTAAAAATATCAGTAAGTCCTTAAGGTCATGTGATTCTGAAACGATTATAATTAAATTATTTAAAAAATATTGCTGAAACATTTGAAGGTACTTGCCATTATTATGACAAGTATTCAATTAACATTTGAAAATGAGATGACTAAGCAAATAAAACATCTTAAAGAATGTTTCGGCGCATTAATCGTAATAACAGTGAGATAAGAATACCGTTAATACATTAACATGTTTCCAAAAAGAAATGTGCTTGATTAAAACAAATTTGTAATCGTGAGACAGGTATTAAACTCCACCACACGGCTTTGCCTTGGGCCGAATGAAAACCAGTGGTCGCGTCGAAGAAGTGTGTCAATGGGGCTTCCAGATAATCCAATGGTAGATCTGTTTTGTGTGACATGTCTAAAAGCTTACAACGTGTGACAGAATCATTATGAGGCCCGTATTCGAACGTCGGTCTTCATCGTTTTGTATTATTTACGGCGATAGTAGGACGCCTTCGGGAAGGATATTTACACCCGGATTATTTTAAAAGCTTTCCCAGTAACGTCTCCTAATCCCGCGATTATCTTGATTTGTTTTTGATATTCACGATACGCAGTTATCGGTGTGCGTGTGTTCGTGTTACGCCGTTGTGGACGTAATCAACAAGTGAGTAATTAAAAGCTATAATTGTATTCGTGATATTTGCCTAATGTGTGTTTCGGAGCACTAAGTAGCAATATCACAGACGAAAGCATTTATCACAGATAGAAAAATAAAATCTGGAAATCTCAAAAATTATCAACCTACTTGCACAAACCTATATTTTAATATCTTGCCTTTTGTCTGCTGAAGCCGTCTGCTTCGTATGGTGTAACGGATTCTCTAATTTGTTTGATGTCTTCAAATTTGATGGTTTGCCAGATCTTTCTTTGCCAATACTATAAATTAGAATTTGTTTGCTTACTAAACTGTCCCTAAGGAATCTTTCATATAGTTTTTTGTTATTGCAATGCGCCGTTGTCTCTTATTTTAATATGGTCAATTTCACGTCTGCTCTTGCAAAGTCGCTGCGAGTTTTTGAAATAGTTATAATAGTTAGTAAAAAATAATAGTTAGACCCGTGATAGCTCAGTGTCCGGGCGCTCGCCTTTAATTCATTATACTCGAGCAATCTGAGTTCGATCCCCGGTGCCGGCACCAATGACGATGAAGGAAAACATCGTGAGGAAACCTGCATATTTTCGAAATAATAACAAAAAAAAAATATTTCGAAGATATGTGAAGTCCGCCAATCCGCAGTGGGGCCGCGTGGTGGACTATGCCCTGATACCCTCTGTATAGAGGAGGCCTTTGCCCAGCAGTGGGACATGTATAGGCTGATACTTTACCTTTTAATAGTTATTACCTTACTAGGTTTTATTAATGTGAACCACATTACCTTTTAGTCTAAAGTGTAAGAAGCATATTTTTACCACATAAAGTGTTTGCCCCGCTACTTAATATTCCCCATATATAAAAAATTGTTCATAGTCTGAGTGCACTTTGTGAATTTTATTATTGCTTATCTGGCATTAATTTCCTAATATAATAGTCGTTATTTTTTTAATCATAACAATATGATTGCATAAATATAATAATGTATACACGATAATAGTAATACGAAAGCACCATATGTTTTCGAGTAAATTTTTATGACTCTAATCTACATCGCTGTAGTTCGTGTTTAGATTAACAGAGCTAGTTGCCGAATAACTAGATTCATATTCCTATATTAGGGTAGTTGAGGAAAGCGTGAAAAAGAAATCCGATCTCTACCGGTGTGCTTTAACCATTTAAATGTGCTACTAATTCCGTCGAATGAGGGTGACGTTTGCGAGTGGAGTTGTGGAGTTGTTTGCGGGCCCCGTAGGTTTACGGCCCTAATGCCTGCCCCGTGCCGAATATAAGCCTTAAGTAAACATAAACATTATTTTAGTAAACCGATGAGCTTAGCGAAAGCTCCCACAAGCGATTAATGCTACCCCATATCGAACGATCGCAAAGATAACGCCGGCAACTGTTTGATAACGCATTTCTGATTATGAACTTTATCCACAAGGAATAAGAGTGTAAGAGGTGATTACAGTGGAAAGTTGAAGTTTGTCGGTAGGTGTTGCGACTAAATTCAATTAGCGACAGCATGCCCTATAATAACGACATAAAGTTGTGTTTTGCTTGACGAGCAACAGTATTTGTGAACTGTATGTTACCGATTACCCTTTTAATCTCAATGCGTACACGTTTAGAGTGTATTTTTCATTAATAATGTACTAGTTGGAGTAATGTACAAACGCCATAATTCCAGATTAATACGCGCGGTGTATACATTGCCAGTTGATTAATTTGTAAAAGCCAGTGCGATATTAGGGACGTGTGATGTTTACCTATTCGGATGGACCCATGCAGTGAATTGCAAAATTCTGTTTTAAATAGAGCTGGACTACTCATTGATTACATTCGGATCAGGTAAAGTATGTTAAGAAAACTTTTTCGCGATATGTTATGCATGAATTGTAAAGAAATCAAAAGTAGCTGTCTGACGTTTGGGCTCTGAGTAATGCGATAATCTTATCTCCTGACATGTTTAACCGAATAAATTCAGTGAGATGTATATTATCTATAACTGTAACTGTAATGGTATAAGATGGGTTTATTACGTTAAATACTAGCTGATTGCGTACGCAAATGTCGTGTAGATACAAACTGTTCGTATTTATCTACAACTTTTTAACTTTTGCTATAAAAAGGAATAGTAACGCCCGGTTTCTGAAACACCTATCATTGTAGAAGTTAACTAATCAGCTGTCAAATGGCTTTTCAAATGTTATTTGATTTGCCAAAAGGATGCTTAAACTCACTGATCAATTCAAAGAGTTTAACCATCCTTTTGGCTACTCAAATGACATTTGAAAAAGCCATGTCACAGCTGAATTTTTAATTCATTTATTTGGCGCGATTACAAAATACAAATTGTAGCATGACTAAATTATTATAGACTAATACATATTACTAAACTTGCATTTCAATAACAACCGAGCATAACATTCAATTTGAATATGTTATTGTAATAATGTATGTAATAAATAATAGTTACTAACTTATAATTAGTTAACGTCTACGATGAACAGTGTTTCAGAAACCGGGCGTAAGTGTAATAAAGATGAACATAACCCTATTCAGCAAGCCTCCGCCGGCCGCGCGTGATTCCTGCAACCCCAAACACAACCCTCGGCTGCAGGCCGTCACACGTCAATCAAGATATCGGTCAGATTTCCTCGCCCCATGACAATCTCGACTGCTGCCCCCACACATTATCCCGTTCGGATTAAAGTAGAGAATATTAATAGTCAACATCGTCAATCCAGCGGTTCTCTGGGAAAAACTTTCGGAAGACTTTATATCTTATATCGTTTTATAACTACTTTCTCTTCGAACCTTTTTTTTTTTACCTATAATTTTTTTATCAGGGACGGCTGTACTTGCTAACCCACCTGACGGTGAGTAGCGATGCAGCCGTAGATAAAGAGGGATTTTTACGGTTTTTATAGGTTTTTAAATTCGAAACGATTCATACATTCCATTCACTTTACATTAAACTGGTCACGAAACAGACTATCTCGTGTGTAATTAACGCGAGAAAAATGAGAAATGTATTGCCAAACTAGTTTTGTTTAAATAAGTAACATTCGTGTAAAAATATGAAATCGTTATATAAATTTGTGTCGAAAAATTAAACATTGTTTTATAGTATTAGCTGATGCCCGTGACTTCTTTACATTACTTTGTAGAAAGGAAAGTTCATCCAGTAATCCTAAGGATTTTTAATATTTTGTTATTAATGGGACTTAATGAAAAGTTTACTGCCCATCATTATTCTTCTCGATAATCTTACCTCAAAAATATTAAGTTGTTCTTGATAAAAGTTCTTAAATGTTTTAAGGCAGAAAATAAGTTTAACCCCATTACTTGGTCGCGTTACTTTCTATAAAAGTTTTAAAAAGGCCGAAAACGTTTTTAAGATTAAACCAAAAATATGTAATCTTTAATCGAAAAATAGATAACTGTAGAAAAAGCTGTAGAAATAGTTTCATTGAAGAAACTATTTTTCAGGTTAAAGACATTTATTTATCACAAAAAGAACATTACAGAGTTCACTTAAAACGTGATAAACATATAGAAGTCTATGTATGTTTTTATCGATTTCATTCATGGTCTAACGGTCTGTCAATAAACGCGAATCAACCGTAAAAATAGTATCACTTAGTAATTGTAATTGCGTAATTACAAGACAAAAAGGTTTACTTTGAAAGTGCAGACAGGCAGACGGTTCGGCTTAATTAAAATTTAAGATAAACCATGTAACATAGTAATCTGAATTGTTCTATGTAAATGCAGCGCAATAACATGCTGTTGTAAACATCCAGCTGGGAGTAGCTGACCTCGTCTCCATTGTCACTTGCGATACGGAAAGATTTTTTATACAATTCTGTACACACGACTTAAATTTGACAACTTATAAATAAAAAAATAAAAAAGTTGTAGTGTCCCGAATTGTGAATCTAAACCAATTTCGAATCGACTTGAAGATACACAAAAAATTTCATTAAAATCGGTTCGGCCGTTCTGCAGGAGTTCTGTGACATACACACGTATAGAAGAATTATATAAATAAAGATTTTACGTATACTCCCTTTAAACAGTTAAAGAGGTAGGTTAATAAACAATGTAATACATGTTTAATTTAAGATATCTCATGTGATGTGAGACACGAACTACCTCACTTAGGATTGATTTGTAGAATATTTAAATATGTTTGCATCTTACAGATCAATTCCACCTCTTGTACCTATTTGTTAAGTAAATAGGAATAATAAACACATGTGCGCGTCAATCTAATGAATCAAATCGCCGATTAATATCGTTACTGAGCAGAGCGAGTTAAATACTTAAGGTGCGGTTAATTTACACATAAGTACTCTTATTTTAAGATCCAATGTTGTATACAGAATAATTATATTTAACATTGTACAATTGAACACTGCGAAACAGAACACGGTAAAGACATCTCGTGTCGTGTGTGTTAGTGGAGCCGCGCGTCAGGGATTACTTGGCCCGCGTGGTATAGTGCGGTCTGTTTCGCGCGTCGTGATGCACTTAGGGCGATGAGGCAGTGCTAAGTAATCCCACTCTCGTTCACTTTTTGCAATACGTCATACATTAAAGATATCAGCATCAATCAGTATAGCTTCTGCAAAATTGGAACGATGAATAGGATTTGAATACCAGCCAAATATGCTTACTGTTCAAAAATATTCGATAGCGCGATGCTCGGTCGAAGGTCGGTCTTATAGTTTAGTAACTGTAGCCTAGCACGACCAGTTTGCGCGGGTAAATCAAGGTTTCCGAATTGTTTTAATACTGCATAAAAATAATACAACGTTCCTTTTTAGGGTTCCGTATCCAAAGGGTAAAGCGGGACACTCTTACTAACTCCGCTGTCTGTCTGTCCGCCTGTCACCAGGCTGTATCTCATTTTTTTTTATTTGGTTCACAAACTGAATGATACATTTAATAAGATATGTTTTTTAATTTCGCGAGACTATTGAAATTAAAAAACACCCTAATTTCAATAGAGAAGAGGGTTGGGTACTACCATCAGCTTGGGATCCTGTCATCAATAAAATTAAATCTAAGCCCAAACGAACCACTACTGCAAGACAAGATACAATTAGCTCCCTCTGCATAGACCGGACACAAAATTAATAATACAAAAACTGACGGTAGCCCGGGTTAACTTTGACAATCAGACGTCTAACACCTCAGTCTATCCCGTGACCATGAATGCTGTAAAGGGTTCGAAACGTCGAGAATTAAAATTAAAATAAACGCGATAAATCCGTAATATTTGTTTCATTTATAATGTGTAATCGCGTAAATACAAGAAATTATTATAGATTTCTTTGTCACTGTCAATGTGAATATTTTTAACGTCACGATGAAAGCAAAAGGAACGTGATTGCAAGTTAAAAATAAAACGGCAAATTTAAAGCAAATTTTGAATGACCGAGAAGTGTCCAGGTAATAAAGGGCAATTGGTTACAAGACCTAATCCGTTCCCGGTCGCCACCGCAGTGTTAAAGTTTGATTCATGCGACCCAGAGAAGTGCATCGAGTCTCGGGGCCCTCATTACGTATCGGTGTGTCAATAGAATTATTAGTACCTGGAGGTTTTTTTGGTAAATCGTGGATTTTGGAAATAAAAAATAAAGAAAGCAATGATCTGGGATAGAAAGAAAGTAAAAAAAATAAGTGTGTAAATGATCTTGACACGAACCGCGGCTTTCTGTTTCGGGGCCGCCCGATTACCGACCGAGCTATTATAACATGAAAATCGCTGGAGCCGTTCTCGAGATTCCGTTTATATATATATTATAACAAAATCGACGCGACAGATACTTACATTGCTATTTTAAATTTATTTCTGCAACTCTCCATGGGCGGCGGTATTCAGTTATCATCAGGTGAACCGCCTGTTCGTTTGGCAACTTTTCACATTAAAAAAAACTTTGTTGCAAGAAGCGGTATTAGAATTGGGGCCCATATCGTCCCGACCAGCTCAATATATAAACACAATTATATATGGAGGGCTTGCTTTCTAATCGTTAGCTAAAAGAGACCATCTAGCTCACTAATGAATTCGTATACCATGTAAATGCAGGCGATATTTTAGACTTGTAGAATGTGACATCTAAGAAGAACCAACTCACGGTCTGGACCTGGATTAGTTTTAAGCATCTGTTTTCCATGATGCGTTTTTCATTCGTAATACAATTATATTAATTCGTTTTTCCAATATGTTAGAGCTTGGATCTTGCAGTTGTACACGTTTGAGCTTGAACTATTTGCAACTTCATTTACTTTCTCTTCATTCTTGATGCTCTACTGATATTACGTTAAATACAACCAGAGCTTACTATAAAGTTCATGGTTAATGTTAAAATGGGTATTGTGTGATAATCCGATTGAAGGAAAAAACTATGTGGTGTGCCACTATGATTCTAATTTCGAAAATACAATGTCCCCAGTACTACTAGGGCCAACAGTCTTGACTTTAAGGATAGGCGAGTAAAAGCATATTCAAACATGTCCTATTAAAGCAATAGCAATAACTTTAATATTTACGTAATATTACAGTCGGTCATACCAACAGAAGACCGCACCATAAAACCTTCACGTATACTAATCACTGGCTGACATACGATGCGCGTCCTTAACAGCTGCGGTGTGCCTGAATCGCCCTTTGTCCATACCTCGACCAGCTCGGAAGGTGGAGTTCAGAAGAAGTAGCTTGCAACACACTATATCAAGTGAAAACTTGAAATAGTGTAGTGCAAGCTAATAGAGACGAATCGTCTATGAATGACATGATAACCGTTTCGTTATTTACGGGCGATCATCGCACATCGGTCATCGGACATCGGACATCGGTCTCAAGGACCGCTTAAGTGTTACGGGCAACGAGTTTGTAAATTCATAAAAAGTTATTTAGAAAAATCAGTTGACGTTATAAACCTGCTATCACAAGTAAGCTATGGATACGTTATAACATCAGATAATAGCTGGTACTAAGGATGAAAGTCATATTATGAAGAAATGAATATTAAAATTTTACTGTGGTAGGGAAACGTAGCAGCTTCTGTGTATGGGCAGGCTCATCTGGGTAAGTACCACGGCCTCACAGAAGACGGTGTGAAGTGGAAATATTAAACTTTCGTGTTTCTTCTGGGGAGTTAGGTAACAAGGGTCCAATTTTTAAAGTTATCTACTCATCTAGAATCGATAAAATGTTGCAGATGGGCAGCGGTAATCACTTAACATCAGGTGAACCGCCGGTTCGCTTTCGTTTAGTTATTATTGTCGGACCAATTTCTTGACTTCTACTTGAATCAATCATCTTGAATCAAACGTAAGTAATAAATTATTACCGCGAAAATATAGGTTCAATTATGTTTTAAACAATGACCCAACTTGACGCTGATGTTTTTTAAAATAAAACCTACCTAGAATAACACCTAAAACAGTCACATATTGTGGTGTCATGAATCAGTTGCGTTCAGGATAAGAATTCCCATTGTTCAAAAGACATCGTCTATTGGGAGGCGAGTGGAGGAGCAAAATGGGGGGAAATAACAGTATTTGATTCGAGAATTCGCCGACGGGCGGTACGTGTGAACGGTAAGCGCTGACAGTTTTAAGAATTGACTGACAAGAAGCGTTTCGCTCGACCTTTTCGCTCCGTGTATCCGTATACGCGTGTAAAACGCGA